GAATTACAGGGATTGCAACAGTATCACAATCTAATCAAGCATCAGTAGGCTAATGCATGTGCAGCTCTTATCACTGCAAAGAAGGATTAAGCACGCTCTTGTGATAAGGATACATCAAGTTAATACCGCTCATCAAAAAGGAACATTTCAATTATTTGTTGAGTTTTCCCGCTTTTATTCTGTAAAAGTGTTCCTGCTTCAATCAGTAGAAGAAAAAAAGATGAAAATCTAGAGAACATGGAGTGATATGATACCTGCTTTCAGAAAGTGGAGATACAGTATCAGCTAATGTGAGAGTCCCTGCTGATACCCGGAGAGACGTCCGCCTCTCGCCTGACCCTTAAACCCGCCTCGTCGTTGTATAACGCTGGTCCAGAGCCAGGGTTGTGCGCACCTTTACCTGGCCTCCGCTCCTCCGATGGTACAGCCTTCCCGCTGCTGCTTGTGCTGCCGCTGCTGCTGGGACACAAACACAGTGAAGCTGCAGCACACACCACTAACACACAGACCGACGGAGAGCAGGCAGCCAGCAGACAGACGCACGTAGGAAGGAGGGAAACGTACACCACCATGGGCTGCTGTAACAGAAGGTGCGGGCTGATAGCTGGAGCTGTGTTTGGGGCGGCAGTAGCCATCCTGGGAGGCGTCCTGATCCCTGTGGGCAACAAGATCATTCAGGAGACAGTGGAGAAGGTACGGTGCTCAGTTTCCCCCTGAGTTGGAAGGTAGGGAGTGACAGAGCATTCCCCGTGTGTGTGTGTGTGTGTGTGTGTGTGTGTGTGTGTGTGTAAACGCAGAGATCAAGGTGAATCAGGAGAAATGAGAAGGAGGAGGCGAAGATTTAAAAAAATGCTTCAATTTGTAAACAAGCTTCTGTGCAGAAATGTGTCTAGAATTTCTACTCGGCGATCCATCAAAAGATCACCATCTGTGATTCTTTTCAAAGAGATTTATTTCAGAGGCGATTTCACAGGGAAGTCATTCTTCCCTCCAAGAGCATCCACCTTTTTCACGTGTCAGAGGAGCTGCTGGCCTGCTGGCAGTCTCCTGGCACGATAAAAATAGCTTGTCTGTGTTTCTGTGGGCTTTAGGAAGCTGTCATCGAGCCAGGAACGACAGCTTATGACACATGGACAGCCGTGGGGGCAAAGGTGTACAGGCAGTTCTGGTTTTTTGATGTGAAAAACCCGCTGGAGGTTGTGCAGCATGGCTCGAGACCCGTGTTAGTGGAAAGAGGACCTTACACATACAGGTATGGTTCATGTCAACCCCCCCGTCCTAAAGTGTTGTTTCGTCTCTAACAATCTGAATTTGTCCTGCTTCAGGACGAGATATCTGCCCAGAGACAACATCACATTCAACCCCAACGAAACCGCCTCCTTTCTGATTCCTTTCGGTGCCATCTTTGAGCCGTCCATGTCGGTGGGACCAGAGGAAGACGAGATCACCTCCCTCAACCTCGCCCTTGCTGTAAGCGTGTTGTCATTTCTGACTGGACTCAGATCTGCTGCTAATGCCTCTCTGATTAAAAATCTGTTACTGACGAAGCCAAAGCGAGCTGTGCTGGCGTGCAGCGAGGTTGCTTTGGTCTCTGCCGACATTTCAGTGAGGATCTCTGACTTTTATGACTCGTCCCTGTTTGGATGTGATGAATGCCACAAAATGTTCCCTTTGCTAGTAAAAACAAAAGCTGAAAACTAACGAGAAAGACGGCACAAGTAGGAGAAAACAGCTCTAAATGTATCACACCTTGTCTTTGATAAGTGACCTCTGGCTGGCAGGTAGGGATAAAGTCCAGATGCAGAACTGATTAGTCTGAGGACTTGGGCTTTGATGTTTGTTCCTTTAAAGATATAAATAGGCTTCCTCTTTCTAAACTTGACTAAACCGATAGCTTGGTTGGCCTGAATTTTGGCCTGATTTACTTTGCAGTTAGCCACATTAGTAAATGGTGCCACAGATGACTTCCCATGCCAGTACGATGTTTCCCATCATTCATTTGAAGGATTTGGATGGCTGAAAACATTTTAGCCTTTTTATGTTTGCTTAAAGCAATCAATGCAATTTAGAATGATGATTTCTATCGCACGTTGTTGCAAGAAAATCAAAGAAATCATGCAAAACCTCTTTTATTATTCTGAGTTTTGTGATGTAAAAAATAATTATGTTAAAGGGGTGGGACACTGAAAAACCATTCTAAAAATATTACTTGCGATCATAATGAGTTTAACATGCAGGCTGAACATGGAAATAGTCTCCTACACCTATCTCCTGCATTAGCTTCTGATAGAGGATAGACGGTGAAACTCTAGGATTAGAAAATGCTGACAGATACATCCCACTGGCCTCTTTGAAGGTGGGTTTATGCTTGACGCATCCGCGAGGTTCGCGCGGCGAAATTGCGTCATTTTAACACCCACACCGCGCCTCCGCACGGCCCAAATTTTCCGCACCGCGCACCTAGGAAATTTTCTAACCACGCGGACGGTCGGACGCGGAAAAACTTGGCGGACTGGCAAGAACTAGTATGGCAGAGGTTCGTAAATACAGACATTTGTATGATTCAGCTCTCAAAGATCACCGTGATCAACACGTTGTTAATAATTCTTGGAGAGAAATAGCTCGCACTGTCGGAAAAGACGAGGACGCTGTTAAAAATGCTGGAATGCCATGTTGTAAACAACAGTAATTTTTACTTCTACTATGTTGTAGTGTTGGATGCATGCTGTAGAGCTCCATGCTGCCCCCTAGAGTTTGGGAGAATATTGGCTCACCGCAGAGACGAGCCGCATGAACCATAAACGCTGCAAGTTGTGAAGCGCGTTCCATCCGTGAGCCGCATCACCAAGTGGAAAGTGAATGCGGCAAGCATAAACCAAGCTTTAGAAAACAATGCCACCAATTTGCATCAATGCTGAGCTGGCAGATGGGAGCTTTAAATCGTTTATAAGTGGTCAGACCGTGATGGTGATGTAGCGCAATCGTGTCCTTTTTCCAAAGGCGGCACAAAGGAGGGTATGGGGTCGCACTCTGCACTGCCGCAGGCCTCCGTTTACCTTCCGTATTACTTGCTTTTTATTGCGATCGAAGCTGCAATCATTACGTTTCGTTTAACGAGCCGCTCCTAAAGGTGTCTGTCCTCCACAGTCCCCGTGCAGTCTCTGGTGATCTGACCTCCAGCTCCTGGAGCTCTGCATCACTCCAGTTTATCATCTCAGCTGATTCTGTTTACACACTCAGAACTTACTGCCCGTGTTTACTTTTCATTTTCAATACAGTTTCCTGCCGGAGCTCGGCAGTGACTCCCCACGTGATCACGGCATCTCCCAACTCAAACTGACTCAAGTCAGTAATATTACTTGAAAGTGTGGCGGCACAATGCCACAAAATTCCTGCGATGCCATGCAGACACACAGTGGTGGCAGTATTACGCTGCTTTGCCGGCATGGTGTGTCTTCTAAAAATGGCTCGTGTCTCATCTTGATTCACGACGGGGAAGGCGCCTTGGAAGGCTGTTGTTGTTTTAGCGCCTAGGAAACAGCAGTGAGCATCTTGACTAGTAGAAGCTAACAGTTAGCATTTCTTGTCTGATCTTTTAATTGCTTTTAAATGTCTTTACTCTTTTACGTCCTTTTTTGTTGTGCAGTGCTTTGTTTGGCCCTTGGGTCATGTGAAGGCGCTATATAAATGAAGTTGATTGATTGATTGAGCATTATTAATCCACCACAAGGCAGAACTCCTTAAAACTTGTGTTATTTGTGGAATAAAACATCCACGGTACAAGTCAGTGGTAGAGTCATGTTGCTGTTCTCCAATTCGAGGTGAGATGTCCAAATATCACAGCCTGGCAAGCCAGACTAAATAAATATATAAATGATTTAGTCTGGGAACGCTCTACTGACGGCTCTTAGTTGTGGAACGGGTTCTACGGTTGTCTTTCAAACGATCTCCGCATGCTACTGGACAACGAACAACGTGATGATGCACTCACCGCAACAGATGTGGGTCCACCAGGCAGTCCGCTGTTGAATAAGGCAAAAACACATCATGTTTCTAGTGATGGGGCTATTAGATGAGGTCTCGTGAAGCGTATCGGCACATTACCCAAACTATATCGATACCAGGTCAACACTGCGTCATCATGTTGTTCTACTGACACCTGCTGGATTATAAACCCAATAGCGAGACTCTACTGACATCAAGTCCTGGTGGGCTGTTTATCCACTTTGGTCCGGTTCGGTCCACCCACCCCACCCCATCCCACCGCTCTGACAGCCGACGGGACTACTTCCTAAACGATACGCACACCGACACGGATGTCGCTCTAATGAGCCAGATACATGCGCCGGTGCGTCAGTGTTGCTGCCCGTCACTACCCTTTTCTGTGCTGGTGTATGTGTGTGTGTGTGTGTGTGTGTGTGTGTGTGTGTGTCTGCTCTGTCTTCTTGATCCCCAGCGAGTCGTGGTGGATGGCTGCTTATACTGAGGCCTAGTCCACACGTGGCAGGGTTTTATAAAAAACGAATATCCACCCTTCCAAAAACTTGCATCCACACCGCCTCGTTTAAAAACAAACTCTGTCCACACGTACCCGGATAAATACGTTGTTAAGGACATGCCAGACCTGTAGGCGGCAGTACTTCCCCCATTCTTAACCTCGTCCTTCATCTGTGGTCTTCCGCAAGGAGCAGTAATTCCGCTTGCAAAAACAAACAAGCAAAAAGTGCTTGGACAATTGATAAAGCGAGCGCAGCTCTGAGGGCATCCATGCTGTCGGCTAGTGTAAACACAGGTCGCACACGTGATGTCAGCATTTTTTTGTGGCGGAAAGTGACGTTGCGGACCTTAAAACTCCGGTTTTGTCTGTCCACACGCAGACACCCAAAACAGAGAAAACGCAGATCTTCACTTTGGCCGGAGTTTTTAAAAAGATCCGTTTTCGTGTGGATGACAGGCCAAAACGTAGAAAAATATCTACGTTTTGGCAGATCCCCGGCTACGTGTGGACAGGGCCTGAGCCAGGATCTTCTGGAGGTTTCTTCCTGTTAAAAGGGAGTTTTCCTCTCCACTGTCGCTGCATGCTTGCTTAGAATGAGGATTGCTGTAAATTACATCAAGTCACTGACTAGTGTCAGTGACTTGATGTAATTTGCTGGGTTCCTTATATAGGAAACGTTTTTCTGATTGGCTTAATGAACTGACCTGTATTGGAATGTTTACTACGTGAAGTGCCTTGAGACGACTCTTGTCGTGTTTTGGTGCTTTATAAATTAACTTGAATTGAATTTAATTGAATAGAAATTCTAAATAAAGGACTTAAATACATCTGTCCTCACTGAATTCTAATAAAGCCCAAGTCCAAATAGTGCAAAATTGATGTAAAAGCCATGTCAAATGAGCTTTCACCATCTTGTTCCACTCTTGTCGCATCATCCCGCCCACCAAACCAACGGAGTGCCTTGATTGGTCCACAAAGCTGATAAAGTGCTGTGATTGGCCCACCATTGTTGACTAATCACAGCACTCTATTGGTTTGAAAACCTGAAAGAGAGCTTGTGATTGGCCCGCCAGAATGCTGCTGGGGGGCCGCGGAGGTTCCTGGACCTTACAAGGCGTTCATTGCTACTAGAGGCCACTGCTAATATATTGATTAATCAAATGTTCCACACCTTTACGCTCATACCAAAGTACTTATTTGTCCTCCTTTAGGGATGTGGTGCTATTAAACTACAGCTTTAGAGCACTCAGTTCTTATAAATGATGGAAATGTATTTTGGTGTAATTATATGTGAAAATGCTCCTTTTCATGTATTTGTGAGTCAGCAAAGATCTCCCTCATGACTCGTGGTTCTAATCACCGTTTTAGTGTCTTATTTAACAAAGCGCAATGTCTGTTTTGTGAGTTATGGTCCTGTTTCAAGGAAAATAGATGATGCAGCAATAAAAAAGGCTGGAGGGCGAGGCTTTGCTTTCTGATTGATAAGCCTAACGGGAGCACAGAGTTTCCACAGATCTCAGCAGATGACACTGACCTCCAAGATTTAGTATCAACACAGACAACTGGGTCACTCTGCATCAGTCATGTCCGTCTTTTGGGTAAAATCTTTGGAACTGACTTGCTTTGCAGCATCAAGTACATTTGCAGATCCACTAAATAAAATGACACTGGGTCAGTCAATGATTTAACTTTTAACAGAAGAGACAAAAGAAAATCCTGCATTCTTACACAGAAGACACCCAGATTCAAGTTTGACTCCTTTAATTCTGTAGTGTTGTTAATCTACATAACTAGAATTTAAGCTGTTGCTATTCAGCTTTGTTAAATTCTGAGAAAGATCAAACAAATTAGTAATGAAACTTATATTATATATATATATATCCACAGATATTTATATAATCGATAGAAGTTCATACACCAACTGGCTTGGTCTATATTTAATCCAAAAGATTAATATTTAATTTAAGAGATTTAAATTAATAGCAAGAGTTTATTTATTAAATTCAGAAGATCTAAAGAGATCTTTGCTCGTTCAATGACCAAATTGTCACGAGTTGGTTCAGGAGGAAGTTAGGACCCAAGATGCCAAGAAAATGAAGGACGAGGCAGGGGTGGAAGATGAAATAAAATCCTTTATTTTTAGGGATAATCCAAAAGGCAAGGAGCCAAAAACCAAAAATATCCAAAAACACTAGAAACCTAGAGAATCGAGAAGCACTGGAAACACTAGAGATCGAACAAGACGAGACTGACGAAAACAATGGACCGACAAACACACAGGCCTAGTCCACACGTAGCTGGGTTTTTAAAAAAAAAAACGAATATCCGCCCTTCCAAAAACGTGCATCCACACCACCTCGTTTAAAAAAAATAACTGTCCACACGTACCCGGATAAATACGTTGTTAAGGACATGCCAGACCTGTAGGCGGCAGTACTTCCCCCGTTCTTAATCTCGTCCTTCGTCTGTGGTCTTCCGCAAGGAGCAGTAATTCCGCTTGCAAAAACAAACAAGCAAAAAGCGCTTGGACAACTGATAAAGCGAGCGCAGCTCTGAGGGCATCCATGCTGTCGGCTAGTGTAAACACAGGTCGCACACGTGATGTCAGCATTTTTCTGTCGCGGAAAGTGACGTTGCGGACCATAAAACTCCGGTTTTGTCTGTCCACACGCAGACACCCAAAACGGAGAAAACGCAGATCTTCACTTTGGCCGGAGTTTTTAAAAAGATCCGTTTTCGTGTGAAAAAACTCCGTTTTCGGAGGACAGGACCTGGGAGGGGGAAACCTAGAGGGCTGAAGATCTGGGGGAAAAATGGGGACCACCAGGAGACACAAGAGGAAGACGCAGACAAGGACACATGAGGGCGCTAGGAGACACAAAAGGAGAACCTAGAGAGGGATGGAGAACATAAGGAGAAACATGAGGGGAGACGCAGACTCAGACCATGACACAAATATACACCACTCTGTGTTTCATTTCAAAGAAGAGTCAGTTTTAAAAAAAAGTTAAGAATTTATTACTAACAATTTAAAAGACAATTCATAAATGACAATTTATAAAAGCTTTGGTATTAAAACTTGACATTAAAGCAATCTATGTCTGGATTAAACTAAAAATGAAGTGTGTGTGTTTGGATATGTGAATATAGGTCTCAGAAGGTTTTTATCTTAGAGAGAGAAAAACGTGTTCTGGGTGGTAGAATTTGGTTTGCAGTTAAGCTAAATTTTTTCTTAAAAGAACAGGCATTCAGACGCAATCTGTGTTCTACCTCACCATTCAGACGACCCTCTGTTTGGATCCGGAGATCAAGGGAGGATGTTGATCAGCCTCTGGGTACTCGGTCCGGTAGGGTAGCCCAGTGGTACCGACTCTCTTGTCCTAGAGTTGCCGCAGGCACACAGGTGTTGAGTTGGTTTGCATCTGAGCAGATTCTTAAAGGTTGGTTTATGCTTGACGCGTCCGCGAGATTCGCACGGCTCCGCACGGCGAAATTGTGTGATTTTAACAACGCCCCTCCACCGCGCCTCCGCACGGCCCAAAATTTCCGCACCTAGGAAATTTTCTAATCACGCGGACGGACAGACGCGGAAAAACATGGCCGACTGGCAAGAACTAGTATGGCAGAGGTTCGTAAATAAAGACATTTGTATGATTCAGCTCTCAAAGATCACCGTGATCTGTTGTTAGCAATTCTTGGAGAGAAATAGCTCGCACTGTCGGAAAAGACGAGGACGCTGTTAAAAATGCTGGAATGCCATGTTGTAAACAGTCATTTTTACTTCTACTATGGTGTAGTGTTGGATGCATGCTGTAGAGCTCCATGCTGCCCCCTACAGTTTGGGAGAATATTGGCTCACCGCAGAGACAAGCCGCATGAACCATCAACGCTGCGAGTTGTGAATTGCGTTCCATCCGCGAGCCGCATCACCAAGCAGAAAGTGAATGCGTGAAGCATAAACCAAGCTTAAGAAATCTCGTAGCGTCAGCCTGTTGCAGATGGCGTTTCTGTTGAAGCAATTCTATCGGCGTGACAGAAAAGCTTTAGTAGAGGTTTCGAGTGGCCGACCCGATCTTCTGGACTCTTGTTGGCACGGAGAGAATTTTGGTGAGCTCAAGAACTGAACTTGAACCGAGGACTTAGGTTTTAAGGGACGGCCGGTAATCTTATTCTAACGAATTAGATTTTTGACATGTTAGAGGGTAGGACTTAACATACCTCAGAACACGCCCTCCCAAGATAGAAAGCTCTGGTGTTATGGAACAAAGACATGTGAGTGCAGTTACCTTTAACCTGATTACTGTGTCCTGTATGGTGTGTATAAGTGCACATGATCTTCTTGTCACTGTTAAACATTACTGATTATCCTAAATAATAATTATTATTAACCAAAGAATAATAATTCATTTCAGTAATTATATACATTTATAATGAACCATGATGATTATTCTTGAACATTGTAATAGGACAGTGAGAAGAGTTTATTTAAAATTATTCTTTTAAATCTTGAAGTGTCCTTCGTCTTGCGGATGGAACAGCAGTCAGATAAAGGCAATCAGATTAAAGATGGTTTACAGCAGACTTCGCGTCTCCTGTGATGGATAATCTGTAGATAGAAGTACAGCCAGGACAGCTTGACCCAGCTGAGGAAGTGTGACCTTTGGGTCACAAATGAGGCCATTCGTGTCGCTACAATTCTTCATAAAAAAAAAACTTTCTGCTAAAATTAAAATATTGTTTTGAAACCATATAAATTGCACAGCTTGGGTCTCAAGAGGTAAAGGGATGACTGATATGAAAGTAAAATCGTATTCCAGCTGTAAATAGACCAAATTTGATCTGTTATTGTACTTCAACTCACTAATCGGACTTTGTTGTCTTTTATTCCTCTTCGACCACATTTTCTCGCAGAAATCAGCCTCCTGTAAAGGCTTTCTGGTATTTCCTCGGGTATGAGTGCAACGTCACTATTGAGAAATGTTGGACTTTTCCTTTAATTGCAATAAACTCAAGCAAGAACCATACGTTAGATCTGTGACCAGAAGAGATAAGATAACAAGAGGGCAAAAATAGCACAGAGGTTTAATAATCAGCTCTGTGGTGACATTTGTGCTCAGTTCCTGCTTTGGATTTGAAAATGAGGAATGACTCATAGTTGTTTTTGTTCTTATTGAGTCTTCGTGCTCTTTGATTACCCTCGAACAAAAGAGCAGGTCAACCGAGCGCCTCGCCATCATAAACCAGGATTCATTTCAGTGCTATCTCCTCTGCAAACAGCTGCACTTGTGTGCACAGCGGTTTTGCACGTACCATATACAGTATGTCACCATGGAGCTTTAATGTCAACTGTTGTGTTTACTCATTTTGGCTGACGCTTTTGTCTTAAGGGAGATATGCAGTCAACCTAACCTGGATGCTTTTAGTCATCTAAGATCTCTGAACAGACGTGTGAACAGGTGTGAATGTGTGTTTTCCTATCTTCCAGGGTGCATATTCACTCATTTCACCAGAGCTTCACTTGGCTTTGGAGATTTTGATCCGAACAACCAACGCGTCCTTGTTCCAGCGCCGGCCTGTGAAGGAACTGCTCTGGGGCTACAAAGACCCCATGCTTAAAGAAACCGTGGGCCTTTTTCCAGATGTAAGGAAACACATCAGAGGATGAAACTAGCTGAAAATGCACAGATTTACTCAAAATCACAAATGAAACCCTTTGTTTGCTCAGTACAACAACACATTTGATGGCTACTACAATGTCTACACGGGGAAAAACGACATCTCTAAAGTGGGCATCGTTGACATGTGGAGAGGAAGCAGGTGAGTGCAGTTTCAGCTTGCACAAATTCATAAATGGTGATAAAATAAAACATCCTGCTATGCGCAACAGGAGCTTACGCTTTTGGAACAACACGTATTGTGACATGATCAATGGAACAGGTAAGGCTGAAAACTAGCGAAACTGCACACACATCATTCTAACGCAGACAGTTAAATAACCAGATGTTTGTGTTTTTCTGTCAGATGCTTCCTCCTTTCCTCCTTTTTTGAAGAAGAAGGAGCCTCTCTATTTCTTTACATCAGATATCTGCAGGTGAAGCGTTTTATTCAATAAGAGCTCAAACTGGGATGAAATTAACACATTTTTCCACAAAGCAACCACTAGGGGTCAGAGTTTGTCATTGAAGTTACATTAAATGGATTTTTTGACCATTTAAAAATGTTTCAGTGTTAAATAGTGAATACATCTAATCTTGTTTGTAACTTGTAGAAATTGAGATTATGTCTGTCAGGATTGATGAGCTAATGGCTAGTCAGGTGCAACCATGATCAGCATAAAACTCTTTATAACAGACATACATTTTATAGCAATTTATGCAAATTTCTAATTTTCTAATAAATGATTCATGCACATGTATGTATCATCACATTTAAACACGTTTTGCATTAAATATTTATCTATCTGAAATTCTATGAACACCAGTGCTCCTCTGCATCTCCATAGCAACCGTATAAGCACACATTTGTAAAATCAGGGGACACCGTGATTTGAGGGTGAGATGCAAACAAAGAATGATGGAAAGGGTGTGGGAATATATATATATATATATATATATATATATATATATATATATATATATATATATATATATATATATATACAGTGGGGCAAAAAAGTATTTAGTCAGCCACCGATTGTGCAAGTTCTCCCACTGAAAATGATGACAGAGGTCAGTAATTTACATCATAGGTACGCTTCAACTGTGAGAGACAGAATGTGAAAAAAAATCCATGAATTCACATGGCAGGATTTTTAAAGAATTTATTTGTAAATCAGGGTGGAAAATAAGTATTTGGTCAATAACAAAAATTCAACTCAATACTTAGTCACATAACCTTTGTTGGCAATAACAGAGGTCAAACGATTGCTATAGGTCATTACCAGGTTTGCACACACAGTAGCTGGTATTTTGGCCCATTCCTCCATGCAGATCTTCTCGAGAGCAGTGATGTTTTGGGGCTGTCGCCCAACAACACAGACTTTCAACTCCCTCCACAGATTTTCTATGGGGTTGAGGTCTGGAGACTGGCTAGGCCACTCCAGGACTTTCAAATGCTTCTTACGGAGCCACTCCTTTGTTGCCCGGGCGGTGCGTTTAATGTCGTGTTGGAAGACCCAGCCACGTTTCATCTTCACAGCTCTCACTGATGGAAGGAGGTTTCGGCTCAGAATCTCACGATACATGGCCCCATTCATTCTGTCCTTAACACGGATTAGTCGTCCTGTCCCCTTAGCAGAAAAACAGCCCCAAAGCATGAAGTTCCCACCCCCATGCTTCACAGTAGGTATGGTGTTCTTGGGATGCAACTCAGTATTCTTCTTCCTCCAAACACGACGAGTTGAGTTTATACCAAAAAGTTCTACTTTGGTTTCATCTGACCACATGACATTCTCCCAATCCTCTGCTGTATCATCCATGTGCTCTCTGGCAAACTTCAGACAGGCTTGGACATGCACTGGCTTCAGCAGCGGAACACGTCTGGCACTGCAGGATTTGATTCCCTGCCATTGTAGTGTGTTACTGATGGTGACCTTTGTTAGTGTGGTCCCAGCTCTCTGCAGGTCATTCACCAGGTCCTCCCGTGTGGTTCTGGGATTCTTGCTCACTGTTCTCATGATCATTTTAACCCCACGGGATGAGATCTTGCGTGGAGCCCCAGATCGAGGGAGATTATCAGTGGTCTTGTATGTCTTCCATTTTCTGATAATTGCTCCCACAGTTGATTTTTTTCACACCAAGCTGCTTGCCTATTGTAGATTCACTCTTCCCAGTCTGGTGCAGGTCTACAATTCTTTTCCTGGTGTCCTTCGAAGCTCTTTGGTCTTGGCCATAGTGGAGTTTGGAGTCTGACTGTTTGAGGCTGTGGACAGGTGTCTTTTATACAGATAATGAGTTCAAACAGGTGCCATTAATACAGGTAACGAGTGGAGGACAGAAAAGCTTCTTAAAGAAGACGTTACAGGTCTGTAAGAGCCAGAGATTTTCCTTGTTTGAAGTGACCAAATACTTATTTTCCACCCTGATTTACAAATAAATTCTTTAAAAATCCTGCCATGTGAATTCATGGATTTTTTTTCACATTCTGTCTCTCACAGTTGAAGTGTACCTATGTTGAAAATTACTGACCTCTGTCATCATTTTAAGTGGGAGAACTTGCACAATCGGTGGCTGGCTAAATACTTTTTTGCCCCATATATATATATATATATATATATATATATATATATATATATATATATATATATATATATATATATATATATATATGTTTGATTTGGTTTTTATGTTTACTGGTTTTGTTTGTGTGTAATTTTTTTCATTACTAAGGTGCGAAAATTACAAGATAATATGAAAGTAGTGTTAGGAGGGGATTTGTCTGGAAAAATCATTAAAGATGAAATAATGGGTAGTAAATCATGTTCTTTTTCATTTAAATTAGTGACAGTTGATATGGTGAAGAAGTGTATACAGAAAATGAAGGTGAGACCTGCTGGTACTGATGAATTGGATGTGATGTTATTGCAATTAGTTGTGGATGAGATTGCAATTTCGGTGTCTCACATTATTAATTTGAGTTTGGAAGAATGTAAATGTCCAGGGACATGGAAAATGGCAAAAATTGTTCCTCTTCCAAAAAATAATAAGGAGCATTTTTCTGAGAAAAATAGTAGGCCGGTGAGTATTTTACAGATTTTAGGGAAAATAATTGAAAAACTGGTTTTGATCAAATAACGTTATATTTCGAGGAAAATGACTTGAATTCTAAATTTCAGCATGCATATAAAAAGGGGTACTCAACAACAACGGCACTAGCACAGAAGACTAACGATTGGATGACTAATATGGATAATAGAAAACTAACTGGGATGGTATTGTTGGATATGTTGTGAGGCTTTTGATCTAGTGGATCATAACCTATTACTGATGAAATTAGGGTTATATGGTTTTCATGAATCAGCTATTAAATGGGTGGAAAGCTATTTAACTGGAAGGGGGTTTATGGTATTGTTTAATGGCAGTTATTCTCGAAGGAAGAATCTTTTATGTGGGGTTCCGCAGGGAAGTTGTCTTGGACAATTGTTACTTTCAATTTTTACTAATGACCTTCCATTTATGTTAGAATGTGCCACGATTGTAGTATATGCGGATGATTTGACTTTATATGTAGAGGAAAGGAATCTGGAGGAATTAAATTCTATTTTGGAAAAGGAACTGAGGCTAGTAGAAGGGTGGATTAATGAAAATAAGTTAGCTATTACTGTGGAGAAGACTAAATGTATGGTGATGGGATCACCTCATTTGTTGAGAGAACCTGAATTGAATTTATGTATAAGGGAAATGCCAATTGAGCAGGTTAAAGAAGTAAGGTTACTGGGTTTAACAATTGATGAAACGCTAAGTTGGAATAGTCAAGTGAAACAGATTTTAATTAAAATGGGAAAGAACATGACAATGGTGACGAATGGTAGAAAATGTATTCCATATTTAAGTAGAAAAGTATTAGTTGAAGCTGTTGTTTTGTGTCACTTGGGCTATTGTGCAGTAATTTGGGCTGCTACTACGGAAGCGAATTCAAATAAGTTACAGGTCGCACAAAATAAGGTTGCTAGATTGGTCTTAAATTGTTCTTTTGGAAGGAGTTGTGAGGACATGCATACTGCTCTAGCATGGATGGGTGTAAGGAGTAGAATAAAGTACTTACTTATACAATTTATTAGGAATGTTATAAATGCACAGACACTAGACATTTTTTTAAATCAGTTAACATTTTTAGAGATGTTCACCAACATGCTATGCGTCAAGCTGATGGCTGCCTTTTATTGCCAGCTAGTCAAACTAATTTTCTACATAGGTCAGTATTGTATAGAGCTATGGTGGAATGGAATAGTTTACCACAATTCTTGAGGGGTCAGCTACAAAGGAGTGATTTTTGTAGGAGGTCGCAGATATTTATTTATAACCTTTTTACACGAGTTTGAGGAAGATGAGTTTTATGTTTTATTAATTTTATGTTTTGTTGTCCAGTATGTGTGGAGTAATTTGCGTTTTATGTTACGGGAAATGTATGTTATTTTGGTGCTGTATTGGGTGGAATGTGGTCTGCTCTTGTAGTGGAGATTTATATTGTATAGTGAAATGGATTGTTTGTGAGCCCAGTGTTGATGCATGAATAATGTTTGGATGATGTTATGACCCCAGGAAGAATAGCAACTGTTTTAACAGTGGCTAATGGGGATCTTAACAAACAAACAAACAAACAAACAAACAAACAAACAAAGCGTGACCTTCAGTTGAAGCTTTAGAAAAGATATAGGAGGAATTTAGTTCTTTATCGACTTGAAGATTTATCAAGCCTTGGTCTTTGGTTTGCTCCCACTAGCCGTTAGCTCGTCAATCCTCTTTGAACAGAGGCTCGTTTGTACAGAAACACGGCTTAAACTGTAACGCTTCCTCTTTCAGGTCCGTGTCTGCCAGCTATGAGCAGACGAGGAATCTGAAAGGGATTGAAGTCTACCGTTACTCCCTGCTGCCGTCCACCCTGGCCTCTCCTCTGGACAACCCGGACAACAAATGTTTCTGCAGCAACATGAAGACCACCAGGAACTGCACCTTAGCAGGAGTGCTGGACATCAGCACTTGTCAGGACGGTTAGTTAATGATCAACCAAAAACAGGACATCTCACTGTTTTACTGTGTTTTTATTTGAAATGATTTGCTTCTGAGCAGGGAGACCCATTTACATCTCTCTACCCCACTTCCTGCATGGCAGTCAGGAGCTGCGAGACAGCTTAGTGGGTCTAAACCCCCACGAGGAGCATCATAAAACCTTCTTGGATGTAGAACCTGTACGAGCGCATGTTTATTCATTCAATATTTGAGATTCAGTGAAAGCAACAGCCAACTCAAAGATGCTAATATTGTTCTGCTCCCATCAGACCACTGGTTTTACGCTGAATTTTGCCAAAAGGATTCAAGTGAACATGATGTATGGGCCATCAAAGGTCATCACGTAAGTAGTGACTCAAGAGTTTTAAAAATAAAATAAACTTAACTTTTTGTTTTTTTAGATAATGTTAAAATTTGAAATAGTGAACATTATGATTTTAGGACCGATAACTCTCTTTCACTTTGTGTTATGAAGCTTTTTGCAAGTTTGAGATGTCTGCAAAGTCCAAAGAGAGACAGAGCTTATTTTCCAACTCATCTCATTTTATCACAAAATGTCATAAATTATGTTTGCATATTGTTGGTGTTTATTTTTGGGTCTTAGCAACAAACAGCACTAGATTATATCTCAAACTAAAATGTACAATTAATGAATGAGAGGCAGGAATATTCTTCTCACATAAATGCTGCAAAAATTGAATAGTTTCATTTGACAGCTTCAGGGTTAAAATAAAGTTGTAAAATACATATTTCACGTGCACAAAGCAACATGACACATATGCCGAGGGAAAATCTCGGGTGTGGGTGGAGTTTGGTGAGGCCATGGACAAAGACTATCGATCGGCGCCAAAGAGGTTCTGGCAAACTGTCCGGCGCCTCAGTAGAGGAAGGCAGCAACTCACTCACACTGTTTACAGTGGGGATGGGGAGCTGCTGACGTCAACTGGGGCAATAGTCGGACGGCGGAAGGAATAATTTGAGGAGCTCCTCAATCCCACCTACGCGCATTCCGAGGAGGAACCAGAGCCAGGAGACCTGGGGATGGACTGTCCATTCTCGGGGGCAGAAGTTGCTGAGGTAGTCAAACAACTACACAGCGGCGGAGCCCCGGGGGCGGATGAGGTTCGTCCTGGGTATCTCAAGGCTATGGATGTTGTAGGGCTGTCTTGGTTGACACATCTCTGCAACATTGCGTGGTCATCGGAGGCAGTTCCTAGGGAGTGGCAGACCGGGGTGGTGGTCCCCATCTTTAAGAAGGGTGACCTGAGGGTGTGTTCCAACTATAGGGGGATCACACTCCTCAGCCTCCCTGCAAAGGTGTACTCCAAGGTACTGGAGAGGAGGGTCCGATCGATAGTTGAATCTCAGATTGAGGAGGAGCAGTGTGGTTTTCGTCCTGGCCGTGGAACTGTGGACCAGCTCTATACCCTTGCAAGGGTGATGGAGGGGGCATGGGAGTTTGCCCAACATATCCACATGTGTTTTGTGGATTTGGAGAAGGCTTATGACCGTGTCCCCAGGGGCACCCTGTGGAGGACGGTCCAGGAGTATGGGGTGGGTGGCTTTCTGTTAAGGGCCATTCAGTCCCTTTACCAGAGGAGCGTGAGTTTGGTCCGCATAGCCGGTAGTAAGTCGGACCTGTTCCCGGTGAGGGTTGGACTCCGCCAGGGCTGCCCTTTGTCACCGGTTCTGTTCATTACCTTTATGGACAGAATTTCTAGGCGCAGCCGTGGTGTGGAGTGTGTCGAGTTTGGTGGCAGGAGAATCTCGTCTCTGCTTTTTGCGGATGATGTGGTCCTCCTAGCTTCATCCAGCTCTGACTTTCAGCTCTTGCTGGGTAGGTTCGCGGCCGAGTGTGAAGCAGCTGGGATGAGGATCAGCACCTCCAAATCTGAGACCATGGTTCTCGACCGGAAAAGGGTGGCTTGCCAACTCCAGGTCGGGAGAGTGGTCCTACCTCAAGTGGAGGAGTTTAAGTATCTCGGGGTCTTGTTCACGAGTGAGGGTAGGAGGGATCGGGAGATCGACAGGCGGATTGGTTCGGCGTCTGCAGTGATGCGGACGCTGAGCCGATCTGTCGTGGTGAAGAGGGAGCTGAGCCAGAAAGCCAGACTCTCGATTTACCGGTCGATCTACGTCCCAATCCTCACCTATGGTCATGAGCTTTGGGTAATGACCGAAAGAACGAGATCGCGGATACAAGCGGCCGAAATGAGTTTCCTCCGTAGGGTGGCCGGGCTCAGCCTTAGAGATAGGGTGAGGAGCTCGGACATTCGGGAGGGACTCGGAGTAGAACCGCTGCTCCTCCGGATCGAAAGGAGTCAGTTGAGGTGGTTTGGACATCTGGTCAGGATGCCTCCTGGACGCCTCCCTGGGGAGGTGTTTCGGGCATGTCCTGCCGGCAGGAGGCCCCCGGGTCGACCCAGGACATGTTGGAGAGGTTACATCTCCAATCTGGTCCGGGAACGCCTTGGGGTCCTGCCGGAGGAACTGGTGGAGGTGGCCGGGGAGAGGACGGTCTGGAGCTCCCTAGTTGGGATGCTGCCCCCGCGACCTGGACCTGGATAAGCGGAGGAAGACGATGACGACGATGACAAATTAAACCAAATAAGCTACCAGAAGGTGCGAGGTGCCAAAAGTGAGCTACTGAGTCATAAAAATGGAATTTAAAAAATCTAATCCAGTGCTAGATTTTCATGAAAAGTGTCATGGAGGGAAGTCAATGTGCCATCGTGTAATCTTTCATAAAAAGGACACGATTGCGTCACATTACCGTCACCATCCGACCACTTATAATCGACCTAAGGCTCCCTGATGCCGGCTCGGCGTCGCAGCAAAGTGGCGGCATTGTTGCCTAAAAGGGGCTTACTGCTACTAGAGATCACAGCAAATGTATTGATTAATTAAGTCTTCAACACCTTTAAATATTTCTAAGGAGACTTTAAACTTGTTGGTCTATTCATAAGATAAAGAGAAAGTCTGTGCCATAGCAACAAAAAATACAAGATTAAACCCTTTTTTTTACATTAATGCATGAAAACAACCAAAAAAATGGAGAAATGAGCTTTAAGAACAACATGTTCTCTTATGGGTTTTAATGATTTGAAGGATTTATTATTATTATATTATTATAGTATTAACTATTTTACATAAAAATGGCATCTAAGGTTAACTCCACACTGAAGTTTGAGATGATGTTAGACTATAAATATCGAAGTAATGAGCTGTTTTGCTGCAGGGTGCTGAAGAAAGTCAAAGACTACACCATATTCCCTCTTGTTTGGCTTAATGAGGTAAGAAGAAAAGAAATGAAAAGAAAGGGGACGTGTCCAAATCTGACAAAAATCAACTCTTCTCTCGTTTCTGCCTCCAGACAGCTACGCTGGATGATGAAACAGCAGACATGTTCAAGAGAGAGCTGATTTCTCGTATCCAGATGTTGGAGATGGCTCAGCAGGCGTTGCTGGGTGTGGGCGTGGCCATCTTCGTCATCTGCCTCATCTCCTACTGCGTGGTTAGGAGACGCAATCACCAAAGCAAGTTTGCGTAATCAATGGATGGTTTGTGGCGTGTAAAAGCACAGTGCTCTCAAGCTGCTAAGCAACATCAGAACTTTTGATATAGACTTGCACTTTTTGTAATTTGAGTGTTATTTATAATACCAGACCTCCTTTTTATTGCCAAGAAGGAGGAGGAAACTGTGATTTTTTTAAAGCTCAGTTTAATTTGGAACACTGTAACGTTTACTGAATCAGGGATTTCTTTGGGGGGAGAGAAGCTCCACTCAGCTGTCAGGTAATCCTTTAAACCTCAGAGAAAAGAGAAAAGGGTTCGTTTGACATCATGTGACAGGAATACACACAGCTCTACTGTCGTGCGAATGTTCATTTCCTTTGCTGAACTCACGTCTATAAACAAAATAAAAGTAGAAAAGGAGAGTTTTGTTTCTTGGATTGGTCCAAATTTGCACCAAGATGTTCGAAACACACATCAGACTCAACTGATTTATGCACTTTATGATGGTTTTGGTTAGTTTTCATTGGTTCTTACATTAAATGAAGTGACTATTAAACTATAGTGAATATATTAGCTCACTAATATATTAGCTGCGACCAGTATGGATGCACAATACATCAGCAGAAACATCGGTATTGGCAGATGTAGTATTGATCTGATCAGTAATGCTGAATATTAACAAAAATGTTTACTTCCATGTTGTTGGAATATAAAACACATATTCCCAAAAATACAATATGCAATATGACAGATTAGATCACAGAATAAAAAGAGACTATTATGCAATATTTTCCAGTCATTACATGAGAGTGTAAGCCGTGATGTTTCTGAAACAGCTGTTTAAAATAGCTGTTTTGGAGTCTTTCAGCTCTACTTACTTAATGTTAAGATGCTGCATGAACAGTGCAAATCCTTGTGAGAGGTCAAAGGTTAAGCCACGAGCAGACTATATAAAGCAGCTGTCTGAGAGCAAATCTGCAGGAGGCTTCTTAAAGAGCAAGTCACCCTCAAAACAGCTTTTGAACCAGAGCCGCAGCACAGCAGAGAGGGACGCTAAAGCAGACTGGTTTAATTTGAAGCCACTTTCCTCTCACTCATTGGTTTCAATCTAAAATTTGATCTGACTGGTTTTCAGCTGGACCCAGGTTATTTAGTTTTCTTATACTGCTTCAGATTTGGTTAATGAGCTCATCTCTTGGAGGTGTAACGAAGATGTTAATTACATTTAATTAAGGACCATAAGACACAAAATTTCATATCAAGTATGAAATCCATCTTATGGACACTGGGTTGTTTAAATCAGAAGATTGGATCTTTTTAATGCAGGGATTTTAAAATAACACTTTGTATTAACTGAGAGACAAGAGAAGAGAGAGAGACTTTCAAACGTTTAAGTAAAATTATTACTAATTAATTTTAAACAATTTAACAAGACTAACTCTCTAATGATGGATGCTCTGTTTGAATGAAGTGTGAGGTGAATGGTGTGTGGAGAATGAGTGTCAAATTCAAAACCCTCGTATCCGGAGAAACAAAGTCTGAGTGGGAGAGGATGTTTTGCTCCTAACTGATCAGAGTTTGAGACTCGTGGTCATAAACACATGAGACACCATTTGTGTCGCATCCACATACCCTCAGTGAGACCTCCACGATGGATCCAGAATGCCCAGGTCCTCGGACCTTGCTTCCGGTACTGGAGCCAATGGTACAGCGTCACAGCACGACAAACTAGTCCTTGGATTGTCTCCAGGTAAAAGCGACAGGTGTTTCACAGCATCAAAAGGAGACCCTCCTTGGGTCAGCGAGTTCAGCTTTTAGTCTTGTTAAATTGTTTAAAATTATTTAGTAATAAATTTCCTTAAACATTTGAAAGTCTCTCTCTCTTCTCTTGTCTCTCAGTTAATACAAAGTGTTATTTTAAAATCCCTGCAATAAAAAGATCCAATCTTCTGATTTAAGCAACCCAGTGCCCACAAGATGGATTTCATACTCGATATGAAATTTAACATCTTATGGTCCTTAATTAAATGTAATTAACATGTTCGTTACAGAGGAAAGTATATTTCTAAAATTTTTTCTTTTCCCACAAGAAAACAAAACAAACAAACAAAAAAAAAAACCAAAACAGTGGCTATTTAACAGTTGGACATTTATTTTAGACTATCAAGACATTAATAAATACAAGTACTTGAGGACAATAGTTGGACACGTAGACGTGATTTCACATGATTTAGTGACACGCTGCAGCAGAGAACTCTTCTCATTAAAATACAATCTCGTTTCTCTGCAATTTGCAGATACAGTCACAGTTTGTGAATATTGTTGAAATTATTTACAGGATGAAAGAAGTTTCACAATTAACTTAACAAACCGAAGGCAAAAAATAAAACTATCTGTACACAAGCAAGAAAATCTATCTACAATATCTATTATTTGAAAACAAAATCTATTCACAAATGCTCTAGATAAGAGTCTCATTGGTTATTACTACATCTGCACTAAACAAAGAAACATTACCACTGGTGTGAAAAATGTGGTTTCAACAAGCAGCACGATGTTTTTGAGCATAAACAGACCCACTTTACAAATCTGCTGGTTTAGTTGCTTAAGTTTAATTCCAGTGTCGTGTTAGGAGTCGTTTGCAAAAGAGGATAAACCTGAAAACGGTAACGTAACACTCAGCCACATTATTCAACATTACACTTGAGTAGAAGGAATTAATAGGAAGATTTCTTATTGTACAGTATGGAAGCCTGAATGTGCCAATAACAACTTTTAAACCCAAAACAATAACCAAGTAAAAAAAACAAAACAAAAAGAAACATGACTATGAAATAAAACATTTCAGAGTCTGGAAAACAAACCAAACACATTTTTAAATTGTTCTAAAATCATTTATTTGCTTTGGTGAATGAATTGATTGTTTTTTTTACATGTAAAAGTTTTTGTTTTTCAGATTTTTGAATGTTTCTCTTTTGTTTTGAGATTTTGTTTTTAACCTTTTTTCATGTTCTTCACTTGAAGGCTGTTTTTACATTTAACTTTTTAAAGATTCTGATTAAACTGAGAGTGAATGTAAAATCTCCTAAATATGGTTTCTTGTTATTTATTTTCCCTTTCTCTCTCTTTTTTTAATTATAAGTAATGATCTCTTTTTGGGACAAATTCTAAAGTCAGCTCAAATAACCCCCGAAACAGCCTTTTAGTTCAGCCACAATGGAGGTTATTCAAAAAAATCAAAATAAACAATTCATCCATCCATCCATCCATTGTCTGAACCCGCTTTGTCCACGTAGGGTCGCGGGGGGGCTGGTGCCTATCTCCAGCCTTCAACGGGCAATCAGGCGGGGTACACCCTGGACAGAGAGCCAGTCCATCGCAGGGCATCACAGAGACACACAGGATAAACAACATGCACACACACACACACACACACACACACCTAAGGACAATGCAGACAGACCAATCAACCTAACAGTCATGTTTTTGGACTGTGGGAGGAAGCCGGAGTACCCGGAGAGAACCCACGCATGCACAGGGAGAACATGCAAACTCCATGCAGAAAGATCCCAGGCTGGGAAGCGAACCCAGGACCTTCTTGCTACAAGGCAACAGCTCTAACCACTGCGCAGCCAATAAACAATTCAGATTACAGAAAATGTAAAAACATCTGTGTGTACTTCTGATTCCACAGACCTGAATAACTCACCGTTAAAAGAATCCTCTGTATTTGTTTAATCCCATCTTAACCACCAATACTGCACGACACTATTTGAATGACCTTTTATTTTTATTTATTTATTTATTTTTTATAAAGGAACAAGTCCATTACAAGATAACATCCAGCTGGTTTTACTTGTCATCTTGTGACTGTGTGCATTTTCCCCTTGAGATAGAAGTTTATCAATGGAGGACACAAAGATCAGCTCATTTTCTGCTGCCATGTTGGTAAACGACTCGTGGTTGTTGGTGTGTTGGTAAAAATATCGCGGCCAACTGGCCACATCGCGTCATGCATTAAAAACTCGTGACCTTCTCTGTGGACTGTACAGCTACAGCGCAGCTCGGCAGCTGAAACAGAGCAGGAAAACGGCAGTGTGTCCGTTCTGCAGCTCCTAGCCTCCTGCGTCATGCCTCGTGGAGGTGACTGCGTCGGTTGCGGCTCTTCCTCCGGTCCAATAGGGGCTTCAGTTTGGCCAGATCCCCCCTGAGGGGTCCAGGTGGCCGTGGCTGCTGCTGCCTCTGCTGCAGCTTCTGAAACTCCTTCCTCTCTTTGCAGTACTGTTGTACAGCCTGACTCTCTGCAGGGCTGAAGGCTTGCAGAAGGACCTTAGGATGCACAGCGCTGGCCCACACCCAAGGAGACTGCTGTTTGTCCATCAGCACGCTCACCATGGCCTCGCTCAGCACCTGCAGGCGGATTTTGGCGACTGTGCGTTTGAAGCCATTTTCTGTGGTCAGGCAGTAGTAGAGGCCCTGGTCAGACAGCTGCAGGGAGCGGATGAGGAGGCCATGTTCAGTGGAGAGGACACGGTCACTTAGCTTCACCTGCAAAAACAAAGTTTAAATATTAATTAATGTGATTCTTTTTACTAACCTCAAATGCAAAAAAAAATCGATGTAGTTTTATCATTACTGAGATGTAAACACGAGTTCATCAAAATAACTGATTGTTCTGCGACTTTCTGCCTGTTTGTTGCATGGAAATAAACATTCACATCATTTTCATGACATTTTATGGTTATTTGTCAGTGACTTGATGCAATTTGCTGGGTTCCTTATATAGGAAACATTATTTCTGATTGGCTTAATGAACTGTGAATTGGAATGTTTATTATGTGAAGTGCCTTGAGACGACTCTTGTCGTGATTTGGCGCTATATAAATAAACTTGAATTGAATTGAATTTGCAATTTTAACCCTTTAGGCGCCATAATTTATTCAGTAAAATATGAATTTTTTATATAACTATTTAAAGAGCTTGTAGCTTAAATCTGGTTAGAGATAGAGGAATGTTGTGAATTAGAAAAATCTTCAGTATGAGCCAAATTTTGTGAAAGGAACAAATTCACTCACATAATTCGCATATTATGACATCATCAGGTAGCAGCCATATTGGATTGCATCACATTTGCAGATTTTATTTTATTTTTTTATGTTTTGGTCTCATTTTCTTAGTGTTGTTATTGTTTATGATACAAATATACATATTCCTATGTAGACACACACATACACACATATATATATATAATATTTATTACTTTATTGGTATTTTGTTATGTTTACTGCATATCAATCCAGAACACTGTTTTTGGTGCTTCAGTGTCATGAACAAATTTTACTCATCCCGTCTTTGGTTTATTTTGTTTATACACACACACACACACACACACACACACATATATATATATATATATATATATATATATATATATATATATATATATATGTACACAGATAGATAGATAGATAGATAGATAGATAGATAGATAGATAGATAGATAGAACATCGGAACATCGGACAAGATAAGGGCTGGATGGGCTGCTTGTGTAACCGTGTCGTCGCTGACGGACTCTCTGATTCTGCGCGCTGAAGCCATGCTTTCCGTCTCGATAGAAGACCGCAGATCATCCTCGGACAGGAAATATTCTTCCTCCGAATCCGAATCTGCCAGCACTAGACGAAGAGCTTCGTCAGACTGAACATTCCTCTCGGCATTGTGTTTTTTTTCTTTACCACTCGCTCGCTCTCCCTCATCTGACTGCTCTGACAAGCCCCGCGGCTCTGCGACTGGTGGGCGGGGTTCAAGTTCTAAATACTCGAAAAGTTTCAATAGTAACACGCCCACAAATGCTGCTTGGATTGAAGTTACAAGTGTCTGCCACCCCGCAGTGTAACGTATTAACTGCATGAGGGCTCATTTCTGCTGCTGTGGCTTATTAAATCCAACATTGCTGCTCGTCGCAATTCTGCGACTTTGGCGCTTAAAGGGTTAAAAAGCAGCAGTGGAATGTAGCTCTTGTGGTACATCCAGAAGTCAAGTCCCACAGGCATAGCTTAATTCTTAATGGGTCACATAGAGACGTTTGGTTGAAGTTGTTACTTTTCCAAACTGAGGCTGTTCTGGAAGCCACCCACTATAGTAATTATTAAATTATTAAACAAACACACTTCAGAGGTCTCACGCCCAGACAAGATCTGGAGAAACATATTCATGTGTTCATCTCTGGCAGGCTGGACTGTTGCAATGTTTTTTTTTTTTTTTGTCTGGTCTTCCCTTAAAGCTGTGAAGCACCTGCAGCAACAAGAACCAGGAGAACCGAGCACATCACTGCTGTTCTTAAAACTCTACATGTCACGTTGAGTGTAGAAGGTTTGGACCCAAGATGCAGAATCCCCAGAACGACTCCAGGCAGGAGTGGTTAAAGAAAATAAATTCCTTTATTTTGAGGAGGATGCGCCAAAATCCAAAGCACAGCTAATAAGACTAACTCTCAAAAACTCACTGACAATTCCAAAACAAACAAAAGCTCACACATGAGCACAGACTCGGGAAAACTCGAGAGGGGAACGAGCAACGCAGACACGTACAACAATGAACCAACAAACAGAGTGACAAGACAGGGCTTAAATAGACTGGGAGGATGAGAGGGAGATGAATTGCAGGTGTGTGGGGAGAGGGACCAGGTGAACACAATTACTAACTCAGGGAGGAGGAAGAAAACACTGGTGGGAAAAAAACACACTAAATAATGAAAGGCTGTAACAAAGGAAAATGACCTAAGAGAAAAAACAAAGACCAGAAGGCATGAACCATAACTAATATTCTAAGGGGAAGCCGACACTAAAGGAAACACTACAGAAAGAAACTACAGGGGCGTGGCTAAGAGGGGGGAAACCTAGAGGGCAAATGGGGAAACAGAACCAAAGGAGGACAGATAAACCTAAAACTCACAATCCAAACTAAAAGGCTGCGGGAAGGACTAACACACACACACACACACACACACAGACATAAATAACTCACACACACATATACTGGGCTGGGGAACAAGAGGCTGGAGCTGCAACTGGAGGGACAGAGGATAACTAAATGAACACCGGACCTGAGGGAATGATAAAAAGGCCTACAAACAGAAGACACATAACAGCGATGCAGACAAAGGACACATGAGGGCGCTAAGAGAACACAAAAGGGAATCCAGAGAGGGATGGAGAAACATTAGGAGACACATGGGGAAAGGCGCAGACAAAGGACACATGAGGGTGCCATGAAACACAAAAGGAGAACCTGGAGTGGGAACTGGATGGGCTGGGGAACAAAGGGACACGGAACATGACACTACACTGGTTACCAGTGAACCACAGAATCCATTCCAAAGTGCTACTACCAGTTTATAAATCACTTAATAGCATGGGGCCAGAAAACGTGTCGAATCTATTTACGCCCAGCAGGACACAGTCAGCGGATAGAATCAGAACCCCGGGTCAGAACCGAACAGTGTGAAGCTGCTTTTAGCTGCAGCTGCACACAGAATCCGCTTCCTCATGACTTAAGGTGTGCCACAACTCTAACTTTTATCTCAAAACCGACAGCTATCCATCAGCCGCTGAATGAACGTTTCTCATGCTGCACCTTCTGCACTGTAACTGCTCACCCTTTAAGCTCTTCATTTTATTTCTTACATATGATTTCATTTGTGTATTTTTAAATTAGATTTTATAAACTGCAGTTTTATGTTGTCACATTGAATTTAATGTTTTATATTCTTGCTGCTCTTGCTCCTGGAAAGCACATCGAACTACTTCTGTGTATGAAAAATGCTATATGAAGGCTGCCTTGCCTTCAGAATGACTTAAATAACTCTTCACCGGAGAAGAGCTCTATGTTTCACACAAGAATGGGCTAATTATTTAATGTTTTAACTGAATAACTACAAGGATTCAAAGGCTTTTAATATTTCAACTAATAGATTATTTTGGCTGAAATTCGTTAATTCATTTACCGGTCGATCTACGTTCCTACCCTCACCTACGGTCATGAGCTTTGGGTAGTGACTGAAAGAACGAGATCGCGGATTCAAGCGGCCGAAAAGAGTTTTCTCCGCAGGGTGGCCAGGCTCAGCCTTAGAGATAGGGTGAGAAGCTCAGTCATCCGGAAGGGGCTTGGGGGTAGATTCGCTGCTCCTCCACATCGAGGAGCCAGTTGAGGTCGGCTTTCCAGGCACGTCCAACCGGGAGGAGGGACGACATGCTGGAGGGACTATGTCTCTCGGCTGGCCAGGGAACACCTTGGGATTCTCCCGTAAGAGCTGGCCCAAATGGCTGGGGAGAGGGAAGTCTGGGCCTCTCTACTTAGGCTACTGCCCCCGCGACCCGATTCCAGATAAACGGAAGAAAATGGATGGATGGATGGAAATTCATTAATATGATGCTGCTCTAAGAGTTTAGTCTGCATCCAGACAGAATTAGACAGAAAAAGTCCCAATCCTACTCATGGGTTTATACAGAAACTGATTTTAAGTTTTCAAAGCAGATAATTATATTAGCGATCACCAGTTCCCTTGAAAATATTGTATGCTTTGCTTATAGATTGGAAAGAGGACATTGCATCAGCTACATCTTTAGGGATCTTCATAGCTCCACAAAAGCTTTCGGTAGATCACAGACAGAGTGAACAGTGAGGCTGGACCGACCTCTTTCCTCCTGTCGTTGTCTCTCTGAATGAGCCATCGAATCGACTCCTGAGGAGACTTCGGAATACACTCCAGGAAGGTGGTATTGTTTTTCACGCCGTACTGCATGCTCTCCACTGCATTCCTGTAGGCTGAATACACACACACACACACACACACACACACACGCGCACACGCACACACACACACACACACACACACACACACACACACACACACACACACACACACACACACACACACACACACACACACACACACACACACACACACACACACACACACACACACACACACACACACACACACACACACACACACACACACACACACACATTCTCTGAGTCAAAAAGAGGCACATCAGACGCCACTTGCTGACAGACACGACACCCACAGATGGGCTCAAACCTGTCTGGAGTCTCAGGATGACAGAGGAACGTTGACATAAAGCTCAGTTTGACACAGCTAAACCCCACTGAGAGTTTACTTTCTGCAAACAATCAAACCTTCAACTCATCAAACAGACTCGCTGTCTCACCATGTCTGACGCTGTGCTGTAACAGGTCAGTCAGCCAGATGTGTGACAAGGACAGGACTAATTAGAGGTAGTGACCATACGGTTGGGTCTCCAAACTCATGGTAACTTGTTATGGAAATGGAAGGGAGCTAATTCTCTGCAATGGTAGCTTTTTCAACATTGTGCTAATGTCCATCGGAGTTATGGAAAATGATAAATGGCCTATAGCGCCCTCTACAGTCCTGGAACCCCCCAAGGTGCTTTACAACACAATCAGTCATTCACTCTTTCACACACACATTCACACCGTGGACAGAGGCAAGTTTGGCATGACCGGTCCCTCCGACCACCACCAGCAGGCAAGGTAGGTTGTGTCTTGCCCAAGAACACAACAGCAGCAACAGAATGAGTGGGGCTCAAACCTGCAACCTTCCAATTACGGGGCGAGCACTTAACTCCTGTGCCCTCGTTGCCCACTTACTTCGTTACTAAATGCTAGTCGCTAATTGTTGCACCAGATGGTTTTCTGTTCCATTTGGGGACAAAGGAGCCTACAGGTAGTGAATACTTTCTATGTTATTATTATTATTTTATAAATTAGCAAAAGGTTACTGGCAAGACATTTGGCTTTCAAACCCAAAAGATAAAAAAAAAAAAAAAAAACAAAAAAAAAACGACCAAATCATAAATGTTTATTGTTCAAAAGATGCAGTCAGAAGTTTCCACACGCTCTTGATCTTTGATACCATATGGAGCACTTAGAAACTCATTCATGCTTTTATTCCTAGTCGGTTGGACTATTGCAATGGTCTCCTAACTGGTCTTCCCAAAAAAGCTGTGAAGCAGCTGCAGCTTGTTCAGAATACAGCTGCCAGAGTCTTAACAAGACAAGGGGAATGAAGCACATCACTCCTGTTCTTAGATCTCTACACTGGTTACCAGTAAACTACAGAATAGATTTCAAAGTGCTCCTACTAGTTTATGAATCACATGTCCAATCTCATTCCTGTATGTACACCCAATAGGGCAGCTGGTAGAACCTCGGGTCAGAGCCAAACATGGTGGAGATGCATTTAGTTACTATGCTGCTCACATATGGAATCAGCTCCCCCATGACCTCAGATGTGCCCCAACCCTCGTGTTGTTTAAAACAAAGCTAAAAACCCTAATGCACTCATCAGCCTTTAAATGCATTGTTTCTTATGCTGCGTCATCTCCACTGTAATCTGAGCTGTAACTTTGTCTTCTCCTTCAGCTCTGAACTGTAATTCTGTCTTTGTGTTTTCATATCATGTCCTGATGTTTGTAAAGCACATTGAATTGCCTCTTGAAATGTGCTCTATAAACAAAGCTGCCTTGCCTTGTTCGTCCTGGACATGGCCGTCCCTAAAATAAAAAATACAATTTACATAAGAGGCAGATGGACCTTTCTTGTTGCTTTTCCTCTAATTCAAAAGACTTAGTCTGATCCTGGGTTGGGGATTTGGGACTTATAAGTCATTAAAGGAAAATCAAACAAAACATTTTTTTTTATGTGTGTTAAACACAAAAAGAGTAAAAATTCAGTCCCTTTCTGAACTGATTAGTTTTGTAGGGTCACAGAGAGCTAGTCCACACCCTTGACACGCCCTGGACAGGTCACCAGTCCATCAAAGAGACACACCTATAGGCAAATATAAAAATATATATATGTTCTTTTATCCCGGAACTGCGCTGCTCTTGGTGGCTGCATGTTGGAGTAGCTCTGTTGACTAAATGTAAGTTTTGCCTTTTCTTGGACATTTTTTCTGTCTAGTTTCTCAAGAAAAACTGTATTTTTTTGGTGACATTTTATTTTTTTTGTTTCTGTTGCTGCAAAGCTTTGAGGATCTTTACTGCTATTTTTTTTAGCTTTTTTCATTTTTTGAGCATTTGTTATGATGCGTAACCATGGCAACAAGCTGGTTTACAATCGGGAGCAGCTGATTAACATTGGAAAGGCTGAAATAATACCTCAACTGAAGCCACAAATTCCAAATGAGCTAAAATGCAAGAAGTGTGGGTGCAGAGCGGGAGCAAAACGAAGACAGAGAAAGAGGAAATTCAAACCATCTCTTCCATCGATCATAATGGGCAATGTGAGATCACTGGCCAACAAGATGGAGGAACTCCAAGTCCTTTCAAGGACTCAGCCAGAGTATCGGCAGTTTTGGAACCGCTGGAGGAGATAATGCAAAGAAGGATTCTCCAGAGAATCAAGACTGGACAACCCTGAGCATTCTCTTCACAAGACTGTCCGACAACAGAAGAGTGTCTTCAGTCAGAGGCTTCTTCAGTTTCGCTGCAACACTGACCGCTACTGGAGATCCTTCCTGCCAACAGCCATTGTAATATACAACAACTCTTTGATGACTTGATTATTATTATTATTCTGAGCTACTACAGCAATCAATTCCCCTCTGGGATTAATAAAGTATTTTTGAATTGAAATGAGACACATTTTCACTCACACCTAGGGAGGAGTTAGAGCAGCCAGTTAATCGAACATGCCTGTTTTAAAATTCCAGGGAACTCATGGTGAGGCTTTCAACCCGCAGTGAGGCACGGTGGTGGCAGCATCATGCTGTGGTGCAGTTTCATTACTTACTCGTTCCAACTCATCCTGTTGAAAATTTAGGCTGTGCCGACTGATTTAAACAAACTCTTGAAAATGCTTGAGCTCTGGAATTTCAGCCAGCTTTTTACTAGAAGTGTGTGGATGACATTCTATAGTTAAGATCCAACTCACTAAGTTGCCTTTGAGCCAGAATGTAGAATTTTGAAAGAAAAAACAAAACACATTTCTATTTGTGCACTAAGTTCTTTAAAAACAAATGTGAATTGCATATTAATAAATAAATAAAATAAAATAATAATATTAAAATTAATCGCTCCACCCTGGAAGAAATTGTTTAAAATTTCATTTACATAACAAGTTCATTCAAACATCTGACTTCTTAGTTGGACATTTAAAAAGTCCCACTTTTACCTTTTAAATTGAATCCTCTGCACTGAATGAGTGGATTTCCATGCATGACATCCTGCCGCCTGCTTCTCCTGCAAAAGAGCACATGAATAAAAACAAAAATTCTCACTAATAACGTCCTTCCTCCTTCCATAATAAAGCCATGAAAGGAACTTCCTCTGCCAAAACCAACATGAGGAAAATCTGACCATGTTATTCAGCTCAGTGGTGCACACTCATACGTAACAGCTTGGAAGGAACAGAATGCAAACAGCTGACGCATTATTCCAGCAGGAAAACTTGGATCGGAGCTTTTGTTCCTGGACCAAACTAAACCTGACCCGCGACGAACTTGAAGCACGCAGCTGGTCCTCAAAGACATTTCAACGTAAAGGCAAGGTGTCGGTCAATCCTGCTCGTCAGTTATGTCTGGTTATGAAGTAGGGAACACCAAAAGCAGGAATTTGTGACACGGCGCTCTTTGATGGAAACCAGTCATCTGAACTTCCTGCACTCTCAATCTGTGGATGGCTCTTTCTGTTCTGATTTGAAAGATTATCCATCAGCTGTTGCCCACGTTCTGGTACACACTGACTGAATTTATAATTGTTTAGAGAATGAGTCACAATACTTCTCTATGTTCAAGGAGTAAACACAAATGCAAGAAAATGGGAAAGCAATGTTTTAAAAAACATCTGAAGACATTTTTATTTTAACAAGCTTTTCCAAACTGATTGGTTGAGCTGTTGTGTTAACTTAGCATTATATGGTTTTATGTATATTTTTTATTTGTTTTTATTCATTGTTTTTAATTATTCCATACATTGTTTCTGATTTCCTACTTTAGCACTTTGAGATTTCATTGAAATGTAAAGTGTGTTACAAATAAAATCTATATTGTTATTATTATTATTATTATTATTATTATTATTATTATTATTATTATTATTATTATTATTATTGTTTGGTGCCAGGAAATCAATCCTTGATAAATATTCATAAAAAAGCAAGTAGGTAAGATGCAGCAATTTTTTCCCAAAACAACTCACTGCTCCTTTACTAATGCGATGTGATAAGTGTTGCAAATAGTATTTAAATAGTGTAGCAGGTTTGACTATAAAAATCAATAATTCAGAGTCACAGCTCAGGAGAATTACCAGTAGGAGTTCCACATGGCATAATACTGGGTTATAAGCAATTTAAAATGCATTTAAGCTTAATTTGTAAATGTAATTATTATTTTAAACATATCATATTTGCAGATGACACTATTTTATATAGCTCAGGGGTAAGAGTAAAGGAATGAGTGAAAACAGTGGAAATTTAATTGCTCATGGTAATTTCATTAATTTGTTTGGTGGCATTAGAGACAGTTTTGACAAAACATCTGATTGCACTCATAAAGCAGTTTGTTTTTCTGAAATATTGCATGCACATGAACTACAGTGGTCTTATTATATGGATCAAATTTAGGCTAAACAAACAAAACAAAAACAAATTTAGGCTAGGCTGCTATCAGTTACAACCATGCTAAATTATTAGCAGTGATGCTAGTGTTCAAAATCCTTTAGTCATGTATTCATTAAGAAATTTGCTGTTGATAATGGTTTTCTCCATCTTGGATCATTAATAAAAATCTGCTTCAGGATTACTTTATGGATCCCAGGGAGAAATCTGTGGACGGTCCAAGACAAACCTCGGGACAATGGATTGGTAGCATCCGAAGTTTGCTTGACGCTACTTCCAAGAGCTATTTTATGAACCAGTCTCTTCACCAAAAGGGCTGGTTATCAACCATCATCATGAAGAAGGCCCTACAACATTAACAAGGACCCCTACTTTCCTACAGCTCTGCTGGACCAATGCTGACATGGCACCACTGCTATGTGATTGGACAATAATAGCCCTGGGTAAAAAAAAAAAAAAAGTATTGTCCAAAACAGAGAACAACATTGTAATTACTGCCTAAAATCCCCCAAATAAACATGCAAAATCCTGTCAAAGCCCTCCAAAGCTACAGCTAAAACGGGACACTTACACACCTTTTTCCATTAGGATAGAAGCGGGAGCAGCTCAGTCCATCCCAGGCGCAGTAGGGGGTCTCTAGCAAGGCAGCAGTCTGCACACGCCGAGCCGTAGGCGTGACAACGGTGCAGGGAGACCTGTGAGACCCCAAACTCGGAGCTGACATACAGCTGTTGCTGCAAAAGCAAACAGTCCAAATGTCAGCGTCCTGTTTGTCTTAATAAGCGGCGGGCTGACAGGAAAATGAGGCAGAGTGCTGAAGTAATTACAGCTTATTATTTCCTTGCCTTTGGGGTGGCCCCTTCGTAACACCCAGTCACAGACAATAAATGATGATTTAAACTGTGTAACTTCACTCAGTAGGACAGTTTGGAATATTTTCAGTTCTTACTTTTTTGGAGGATATTCTCAAGTTTGTAACAGGAGCTTGAGTCTGGAAAAACAAGAATGGAAGTAAAGTGCATAAATACGGGGAAAATGTGCAACTTTTAGTTTGAACTCAGCTTGTAAAAACACGTTCTGAGCACATCAGTGTGTTTGATTTGTCTAAATGCTTCCAGGAAAATGAATTCTACGATCTGTTTCAGCAAACCTCCCAGAAGAAACCTTTTCTCTCTTCTTAGAAAAAACCCTCTAACTGCTGCGGTCCAGGTGGACCTAAAACATCAAAGGAATCCTGATGCGATCACAGATTGATCAGATTTTTCCAGCTAAGATGAAACAGCATGTGTGCAAAGGCTCACTACTCAGACTGTTTCCCATCACTGTGCTGCTTTGCGTCAGTCTCATCAGTCTGCTGTTTTCTGTCTGATCTTGGAAAAAACACACCCGCCACTTCTCCGCCTTTGATTTTAGGAGAAGAAAAAGGGATGAATTTAAATGTAAAAGTGATGCAACAGACCTTGAACACTTCCAGCTCCTCCAGGATCAGATCTTGGTGCAGGGACTGGTTGTTTGGCAGGACGATCACTTTCTGGATTGTACCTTTGTCTGAGAACAGAGAGAGAGAGAGAGAGAGAGAGAGAGAGAAAGAGAAAGAGAGAGAGAGAGAGAGAGAGAGAGAGAGAGAGAGAGAGAGAGAGAAGAGAGAGAGAGGAGAGAGAGAGAGAGAGAGAGAGAGAGAGAGAGAGAGAGAGAGAGAGAGAGAGAGAGAGAGAGAGAGAGAGAGAGAGAGAGAGAGAGAGAGAGAGAGAGAGAAAGAGAGAGAGAGAGAGAGAGAGAGAGAAAGAGAGAGAGAGAGAGAGAGAGAGAGAGAGAGAGAGAAAGAGAGAGAGAGAGAGAGAAAATGGTTTAATTTAACAACTAATTAAACAGCGTGAGCTCCATATTTGTTTGCTTTACTCAATGCTCGCTTTTGAAGTAGCCATGATAGTGATGACGGTCGCAGGAGTTGTGATTTGAAATTCTTAAACCGCTCCACAGAGGTCAAGCATGAGAGCACAACTCATCATCATCATCATCAATATGGCTGTCTTGTCCTGAGAGCTGGTGCAGCAGGAGCCACAGATTCATGCTCCTGCAAACGCCTGATAAGACCCCCCCCCCCCCCCCCCTCCATTCTCGAGACAAAGCGTTGTTTCAGAAGCGGACACGGCTCGACGGCGCTGACCCCTCTTCAAGATTCCAGGCAGGAGACGCTGCTGCTCGATAAACACAAGCAGCTGCGCCGGAGCCTCCCAGAGCAGTTTGCTGAATGCAAATGTGCGCACAAACATGGAGGCACCGTTCACACAAACACATGTTGGTCTGTGTTAGGAACAGAAACAAACAGGTGAGGCAACGGCTGCAAGTTAACGTCTCTTTTGCTCATTTTGTTGGATAATCAGGACAATTGCAGTCAACCCATAAAGCCCAACGTGACTTCTAATCCTTGTTTGGAGCCTTTTGGTGTTTTTCTTAACCATTTCAGAACAGTTGTTTTATCCATGCTGCTGTGTTAACACATCATTCTGGCTGCATAGTCGTGTTTATTTTAAAACCTTCTTTCTTTCTAATGTTCTGCTTTTATTTAACGAGTCACTTCCTTGTCATGTGAAGTCCTCCGCATCTGTTTGTGGTGGTTTTAATTAACAACAAACTTCCAGTCAGTTAAAACAGCCTCTGGACTGAGATGCTGTTTACTCTCTGGCCTTTAACGTTGTTCCCGACATGCCGAAGGTTTCCACGTACGCACGGGTCCCTCCAGACGAGCACTCAGCCATATTTGTCCCATGCATGGGTCACGAAGTTTATGCAGTTATTGCTCATGGTTCAGGTGGTAAGAAACCTCTGGGCTGTGCAGAAGGAACCGCAGGTCCCCCTGGAGCTGGCGATTAACCAAACAGGAAGCAGGCAAGCTAACCTGCAAGTGTGTGTTATCAGTCTTTGTGCTGTAAGCTGTAATCTTTATTACCCGTTGATCGGATAAACAATCATTTACTTGTGAAACATCTCAGATACGATTCAGAGAAAAGAAGTGCATCTTTCTACCTGCCTGCTACCAATTATCAGGTTGGAAATACTTCAGTCAGTATTTATTTACTGTAGCAAGTCTCAGTCTGATTTCAAAGGTTTGCCAGTTTAAATGTCCATGAAATCATGATTTACCCTATTCCTTTAGTTTAAAAAATGACATTTTTGATACATTTTTTGAGATGTGTCATGCTGAAAAGGCCAATGTACTGGTAAAATAAGAAAGAAAGACAGAATGGATGCTAAATCCTTATTTTTTTCAGCTGATTTTCATCTTTCCAAAGGAATACAGTGAGTTGAAGTTTCAGTTTGATTTCCTGATCAAGTCACAGAGGATGTGACAGATGTTGTTGGAGTGTGAAATCGCACCTGTTCCCAGGAAGAGCACCTGGTAGTTTCCGTCCGAGGCCAGAACCTGGTCCACAGCCACTGAAGTGTATTTGTAGCCACTGTTGGTTCGGACCACCAGGGGTCTCCTTCCCACCGGGTAGATGGGATTGAACATGACTGGATGATTCCGGACAAAGTTCACCACATCATCTGGGAATTCTTTGGTTGTGTGTATGTCGGGTGTGAAGGCTCCACCGGGACACTGGAGAAAGGCAGGAAACACAAGCATCAAGAGGTTTAAAACCTTTGTTTCTTCTAGATTCATTTGAGATGGTTAAAACTGTTCTTTTTATGTCGAAACTCATATTTCACTGCTATGAAATCCTCAAAAATCAACACTGAAACAGCTTTTTGTTTAAAATTAAATATTTAAGTTTCACACCGACCACAATTTATCCTGTTTACTCAACTTTCATTCTTTTTCTAGGGTTTTTAATAGGCTTTGCTTTTGCTCTTATTTTTTTTCCACATTTTCCCATATAGTTGAATTAAATCTAGTTTAATCGAAACCTAAATTAGTGTAAATGTTTACATTTGTTTATGGGACATATTTATGCATTAGTAGTTGTTTATAAAATTTGCAAAGGACTTCCATATTTGGCTAATTGTTGATTTTAATTTGTATAAAAAGAGGAAAAAGTGCCTAAGCCTTGTAAAAATTGTCCCATTCAGGAGTAAAACTTTAATTTCTAAACAATCATATATAAGTTTAGATTGTACGTGAATATTTAGTAACGCTTCCGTTTACAGTCCCCTAATTACTAAGTACTTTCATGGTAATTACATAGTAAGTTAAAGTGTTTTTTTTTGTTACTGAGTTCTTAAACAGTTATTACCATGTAACTCAGGTTCAATTCTAGTTTTATTTTTATCAATCATTCCCAGTAAATACTGCTTTACACAGCAACTACACTTTATTACAATTATACACTTCAATTACACGATATTACACTTTAACTTACTATGTAATTACCATGTAAGTACTTAGTAATTAGGGGACAGTAAAAGGTAGCGTTACCAAATATTTGTTTGAAATCTTTTTTTTTTTTTTTCAGAAGACAAAAATCTAGAGATGCTCGATCCTGGCTTTCCTACTGATATGTGACATCCCGATATTCAATTCAATTCAATTCAAGTTTATTTATAAAGCGCCAAATCACTACAAGAGTCGTCTCAAGGCACTTCACATAATAAACATTCCAATTCACAGTTCATTAAGCCAATCAGAAATAATGTGTCCTATATAAGGAACCCAGCAAATTGCATCAAGTCACTGACTAGTGTCAGTGACTTGATGCAATCCTCATACTAAGCAAGCATGCAGCGACAGTGGAGAGGAAAACTCCCTTTTAACAGGAAGAAACCTCCAGAGGATCCTGGCTCAGTATAAGCAGCCATCCTCCACGACTCACTGGGGATCGAGAAGACAGAGCAGACACACACACACACACACGCATGCACGCACGCACGCATGCACGCACACACAATAATGTGTCTACAGTTCTATACCGATATTGTCTGACTCTCAATATCCATTACCGATATAAACCCATACCGATAACAGTATATGTTGTGTCGCCCTTTCATATAAAAGAAAAACTAAAACATTTTATGTTACAAACATCACATATCTCTTATCATGCATGATTACATTATCTGTGCAAAATGAAAACTACATGACTTTAGTAATAGGAAAATGGTAAATGGCCTGGATAGAGCCTTCTGAGTGTCCTGCAACCCCCCAAGGCGCTTCACAATACAATCACCCATTCACACATATTTACACGCTGGAGCGGATAAGCTACGGTGTAGCCACAGCTGCCCTGGGGCGCACTGACAGAGGCAAGGCCTGCTGTAATCAGGCTCCACCACCAGCAGGCAAGGAGGGTTAAGTGTTTTGCTCAAGGACATAACAGCAGCATTCTCTGGTCGAAGCTGAGATCGAACCTTGATCGATTTGCAACCTTCCAAAAAGTGTCACATTTACTGCAGCTGAATCTCATTCTCTCTCATCTCAGAAAATGCAGCAGTATGCTTTTAAATAAAGAATTTTTATTATAGGAAACAGGAATTTCTTGCGTTTTTTTTAACGTAATTGCGTTACGTTCTTGTGCCTCTCTATTTCCTGTAAAGAGAATTTAAAGGCGATTTAGTGAAACAGTTTCAACATTAGGATTGTGAATCTATCACTGCATTTGACTTGTTTTTTATTTTTATGACCTGTTTTATTTGTTGGCCTTTGACTTTTTTCTAAGTTTTGCATAAACAGCTGAGTTAAGCTCAAGATAGTGTGTATGAAAAAAATTAAATCATCTTAAAAAACCCAACCCAAATGACTAAAAGGCCCTCGAGTGAACTCACGGTTCCCGGTCTTGGATAAGGGATGCGTCCCTGGAATGCCACCCACTGAAAGTGGGCCCCTCTCTGTGAGCGAAGGGCCGTTGAAAACCGTAAGGATGTCGGCCATGTTGTACACACACACTGCTGAACCTTTGAAAACAGAGCTGAAAGAAAAAGAAAGGGTTCAAATTCAACACCAAAGCAGGAATTTCTGGAGACACACCCAGCAAGAATCTGCTCGCAATACCAAGCAGAATCAGAGCTGGTGAAGATTTGTGTCACACGGCGATCCATTGATGCACCCCACTGAATCAGCTCACCTATTTCCTATTTAATATGGGATGTGGTTCAGCCTCGAGTGTTTAACACCACACTGCTTAACATATAAAAGATGCTTTGTTGGGCGAGGGAACAGAAGCTTTCTGTTCACAGCAGAGACAGAAGAAGAAACAGAGTGGAAACAGAAACAATACGAGACCCTGATGACCTCACGGTTTGGTTTGCTTTGGCTGTGCTGCCCCGGCTCAGACACACTATCGTGCACTCTCCATAAGCCTGAGGGGCAAATGAAGCGAGGGACTGCGGCAGTGCCAGTTACACAGAAAAAACTCAATTAAGGATCAGAACAAATGGATCAAGTGACCATAAACCTCTAAACTTTCCACGCAGCCTGGCAGCTAAATGAAAGAAGTTTGGTCCGTTTGTTCTGTGTGGTTGGATTCCGTTACAGAACAAGTTTTACAGCATGTGGTAAACAGTTCTTTATTTAGTTTGTCAGGAACAATCAGATTAAGTCTGCTGTATTTTCATGGGACACATTCTACACTCAGTTTCAGATTTATTCCCCTCACGTGAACCCAGTTTTGTTATAGGATGTAAACTTCAGACATATTTAACATTTTTTAAATCCCACAAACTTTTACTGTAATCCTACTTTTCAAACTGCACAAGTCTTTTCAGGTTTGGATGTTTGTCATTTATAAAAACAAAGACTAAATGATCTACGGCTTCTCACCAAAAGGAAGGAAAACCCAAAATAACTAAACCTATACTTGAGAGGCAATAATGTTCATACACTTAAAAACTGGAATTTGGAATTCTGGAATGGAGTATTGTAAGCTAAAAATGTTTACTTTTAGCAGGAATTTTCCAGTAGAGGAGTGGACACAAATTTTCCTAACTGGCTCTAAACTTTAACGTGATAACCATCTCATACTTGTACTCAGCAGTGGTGTTCCACAGGGTGTGTGCTTAGCCCCCTACTGTACACTACGCTCACATATGATTACTTCACAAGAAGTTCTTGCTTTTAAGTTATGCAGTTTGCAGATGACACTGCTGTTGTTGGTTTGAGCTCCAACAATGAAGAGCCTGTAAAGAAAAGAGCAGAAGAAGCTTGTTGATTGGTGGAAGTTAAACAACCAAACCATCATTATTGAACAGTGTATACCCCCACCTCTTCTTGATTATTGAGCGGGCCTGGATGTAGGCATGGGCAAGGAGGGCAATGCCCCCCTAAAAATAGTGACTGCCCCCCCAAATGTAGAAATTCCAAATTTCAAAAGATTTGATGAAAAAGGGTCAGAGTGCGCTCTCTCTCTCTCTCTCTCTCTCTCTCTCTCTCTCTCTCTCTCCTCTCTCTCTCTCTCTCTCTCTCTCTCTCTCTCTCTCTCTCTCTCTCTCTCTCTCTCTCTCTCTCTCTCTCTCTCTCTCTCTCTCTCTCTCTCTCTCTCTCTCTCTCTCTCTCTCTCTCTCTCTCTCTCTCTCTCTCTCTCTCTCTCTCTCTCTCTCTCTCTCTCTCTCTCTCTCTCTCTCTCTCTCTCTCTCTCTCTCTCTCTCTCTCTCTCTCTCTCTCTCTCAAAGTAGCTGCTGATTGGTAGATGCATTGGGAGGGTGTGGCCAGCCACTGCACTTGGTTCTCTGTTGTGTCACTCGTCTCACACACTGTCAGACAGTCAGCAGCAGCAGCTAGTGCTCTACGATACTGCAAAATTTGGTGTTGATCCGATACCAAGCAAATACAGGTGCTAGTATTGCCGATGCCGATACCAATACCGATACATTTTTCTACTAGTCTAGAACATCTAGTTGTGGGATTTATTAAGATAAATATGATCAATAAAACTTGAGTTTTCAGACAAGATTCTCATATTGATGATACATCATCAATACGAGAAAAAACGTGACTAGTCGGCGGGCAGATTACTTAAATATTTTGTAATTTTTCCTTTAATAAATCATGTGTACGATGATTCTAAAATACAGGGAACATTTTCAGACAAATAAAGTTTTCATTAAGAAACTCAAAATGGTTTAAAATGGTTAATAAGCTCAAGATTTTTTTCTATTTGAAATCTATAAAGCTGTGTAAAAAAACGGCGCTCCTTTTTCGGTCTGCCATCATGCAGCCACAACAGTGCTCTCTGCTGTTCTGTGCTCGTCTCGTGCTGGCGCGCTGTTTTACTTTTTTAAGTAAATGTAATGGCGGACTGCCCCGTTGACTGACATCTGTGGCGTTCCAATCACAGTGCTTTACTGGTTTGCTGGGCCAATCACAGCGCTCTTTAAGCGAGGTAGGCGGGATGTCCCTGCAAACAAACATGGCTGCCGCTTGAAACGGTCCAATCACAGGTATCAGCCAGGTAAACTACATATCAAGATGGCTGCCATTCTGTAGTGGTCCAATCATGGTGCTATATAGATTTCATGGGCCAATCGCAACAAAAAAGTAGGCGGGATGTTATTGGAACAAAAAAAAAACGTGACTAGTCGGCGGTCAGCCGCTCCTTTGAAATGGCTTTGACATCAAGTTTGGACTATTTTGACTTTGGTTTTTGTTTGAGTCAAGATCAGATAGAAGTACTAAAGTTTATTTAGGCAAAGGATGTTTTTTGCATCTTCTTTGACTGAGTTTGGTGGACTGCCTCGTTGACCGACATCTGTAGCGGTGAGTACGTCATGGCTTGCCGGGCTAGAAGAAACGGAATCGATACCATCACGCAGGTATCTAGTAAATACTCAATACCAATGTTAGATCGATACTATTGATATTTTTGATCAATCCGCCCAGACCCAGCAGCAGCAGCAGGCGCAGAACAGACACCGTTGTTATCTGAGCTTAGCCACTGGTTGGTTTTCTTCTGCTGTCGGTCATTGGAATTATTTGGTTATTTGGTTTTCTCAAGGTTTTAGTTTGCCTCGTTCTCTTCTTTAATTTGTTTTTGAAGTGAACCGAGTCGACATGCGCAGGTTTCTGGTTTCTAAACCTAGCTACAGTGCTAAGGCACTAGCGGCAGAAGCCGGCTCGTCGGCTGCTGCTTCTCAACTCACCACAACACCCCGTGTTCAGGGCAGTACTGGAACAACCAGTTGCACAAGCACCGCAGCCCCTCCTGCTATCCCCCGGCGTCGCTACCACACAGCTGTCATTGTGGGTGACACAGACCTGAACAGTAGCGCACTGTCCCCAGGGGCAGGTTTAGCAATTTGAGGGCCCAAGGCGAACACAGACATCGGGCCCCTTTCACTAAATTTTCGACAATCTTAGCTTTAACTGGATTTGCGAAACTCTCCCCTCTTCTGACATGAGTTATTTTCCCTTTTTATTAGTCCTCCTCTTTTTTCCTGTATTTCCCTCCCTTCGAGCGTTTTCAATATTCACGCTACTTTCTTTTTCCTGTCAATGCTCCTGTGCTTTTGCCTTTGTTTATTTTTTCTAATTTCCATTTTGATCTATGTTTTCCTCCCTTTAAACATTTTCCATTGTCTTTCCTTTCTGCTTCCTTTTGATGTTTACATCGAAAAACGACGACACATTCAGAAGTGAAAATGAAAGCTTTTATGAAGCAAGCTGCTTCTTTCTCTTATTGGAGCCACTCGGATAACTTCATTTCATGCTTAATGTTTTGACTATCGCTTTGAGTTTGTTACGAACGATCCCGCCTCTCTTCTTCTTATTTGTGGTCTTGTGGCACTTGGCAAACAACAATTTGGTGCATTACCGCCACCAACTGGATTGGAGTGGAATGAATACCAATCATTTCATGTTTGTGCATCGCTGTCTTAATAACCCTCTTATGACCATAATTATAACAGGGATTCAGAGGTATGTGACACCCGAAAAATTATTTCCCAGACCCCCTGATATTGTACGTGCCCCCCTTTGTGGGGCTGGCTAAATCCGGCCCTGTTATGGAGGAGAAGACCGAGGACCAATAAAAAAAATACAGCAAGATAAACAAAGCTCATCAAAGATTTTACTTTACGAAGAGGTGGAAAAAAAGCAATGGAAAGCTTCCTGACATTTTCCTGGCATGTATGGGACATTCCAGGAAATTGCTTAAGATGGATTAAGTATTATTGTATCAAGGCTTAAATGGACCCCATCCATCCTGTCCATGAAAATTCACCTTCCCTCCCTCAGGCAATGACAAAAATGTGGCGCAGTCCCATAAACTCTGACCCTCAGGCTGTCCTCTGCACTTTGTTTACCACGGTGTCACTTTAGGAGTACATTAATGATATCACGGGTCATTTGTTGGTTTTCACGCATGTCTTCAACACAATCACAATAAGCAAATTTGAATCTGAATGAACTCAAAAATGCCGTAAACTCATATCATGCAAAGGAATCAGACAGAAAATCAAAAGGTCTGCAGAATTGTTAGAGTTGGCTTCACCAGTCTCACCTCGTGGATGTGAAGACTCCAAAAACCAACAGGCCCTTGGGCTTATCCGCTTCCAGCAAAAACACACTCTCTGGAAAGCAAAACATCTGTATTTACACACCTTTAGATTTAAACACCTGCAGCTAACAATACTCAAATATAGAGACCCAACAGACTATTATGGGCCATTCCCATCTGTACCGGGTCGGCCCGGGCCGGGTAGCCCCAGTCGGCCCCAGCCTGGCCCGTTTGATTCCACACATCCTTGTCTTAAGCCCATGTGGGCTGATTCTACCCACCAATCAGAGGCTTGCTCTAATGGAAGGTGTGAATTTGCTGTCAGCAGTGGGTGTGTTGGCCCTGGTCGGCCTGAAGCAGACCCCCTCGAGAAGAGGGCTGAGAATGAGCCTTGGTTGAACCGGAAAAATACCAGGCCACCCAGATATGTAAACAACCTACGCTACCTGGCCCGGGCCGACCCGGTACAGATGGGAATGGCCCATTAGTGAATGAATACATGTAGATGTGACCTGGAATGAAAGGCTAATAGGCTCAGAAATAAACACGAAATCAGCATAAGACGAAAAATTGACAAAGAGCTTAAATCCAGACTAAACTTAGGAAGTTCTGTCGACTGTTTCTGGAAACATGAACCACTGGAAACCTTAGAACACGAGTAGCGTGTGGTAGACCTCTTTAGACCCACCGAGTTCATCAAAGTGTGTTTCGGTCCCATCGTTCTCCAGCACCGAGCACACCATCCTGGCCTTGAGGAAGGTGGTCCACTTGTTGACGAGGCTGCGCTGTCCTCCAATGTCATTCTGAAGATGAAACCTGGAGTCAGAACTCAGAACTAAAAAAACGTTCCGATACAGACGAAGAAACTTACTGGACACACTCTGGCAACCATAGTGTGGATGTTTTTAGTGTTTCCACTGTTGTCAGTCAGCCTCTCGCGAAAGAAAAAATACAGTTTACCGTCGTTTGGGTCGGTTCCATCCGGGATCAGGTGGGCATCAATGAAAATGGGCTCTAATTTGAAGCAGATGGTAAAAAATATTTGGTTATCTGTGCATTAACCAAAATAAATCAACTTTTTGAGTAAATAAACCAGTGTTTATGGGTTTAAATGCCAGGTCGCTCACCACTAAGCCATTTAGAATTGTGCTGATCCGTTCGCACTGCGTTCCTGTTGGTGAGGCTCCTGAAGATGGCAGCATCTGTCCCCATGAAGTCAATGTACATACCGGAGAAGAGCTCCTGATCTGGGAACACACACACACACACACACACACACACACACACACACACACACACACACACACACACACACACACACACACACACACACACACACACACACACACACACACACACACACACACACACACACACACACACACACACACACACACACTTTAGTTTAATTCTGAAGAAGTTACATAAACTTTGCTAAGCAAATTGTGATCAAATCAGATCACAGGCTAAACTGGGGGAAAATTAGGAAGTTAGCCTCCATCCAGACTGGTTTTATCATAAAAGCAGCACTGACAGCCTCCCAGGTGTCCACAGGAGGCCCAAAGCGTGTTGATGAGCAGATTAAACTAATTAATTGAGCCCAGAGAGTGGCTCTGCTCCTTCTCAGAGGCTTTAAGTGCTGCTTCACTGCGTTCCCAGCACCGTGCTTAACCCCAGCTCTATGTGGCGGATCACCTTCCTTCCTGCCACGCTAGGTTACATATTTCACTCTGGCTCTCTCCTCGGGTTCTCAGGCGAGCAGCGCAGCCTGGCGAAGCTGCTGCTGATGCGGCAGTGCTCATGTAACGGAAAGCAGAGCAGCGCAAAGAAAGGGTGCAGTGTTTCATTTAAAAGGCCACCCAACACCCCTCAGCCAATCAGATCAAAGGAACATGTTGGCTCCAACAGAGAAATCAGCTCCTGAGATTGTTGTGCGGTGAAGCAGCAGCTAAATTTGAACTAAATTTAAACATTTGATAATTTGTGGAGAATTTAACTGTGTTTTGTTTATTTAGCCTTTTGCATCGTTACTGTGCAGAAGCTTCATTTTCATTAAGGTGTAATATTGTAAAAAAAATCTGGAAATGTTATTTTTTGTGAGGGATATATATGAAAACAGACATAGTATAATCTTAATATTTGGGTCATTCAGTGTCAAAATGTGCACGGTTCTGCCTTTAGCATCTACTGCATGCTTTAGCATCCAACTTTGCAAACATTCAGATCTGCAAATGAACCATTTTCAATTCACACACTTTTTCCCATTTGATCCATGAAATACTCATTTTATTTTTAATAAATGAATCAAAGTCAAACACAGTGGTCATTGTGCTCTGGAGAGAAAAAGGGTTTGGATGTAGGGAGGACAAAGCATCTCTGGGGAGAGAGCTTTTGCTGTGGCAGCCACTACTGATCAGACAGGCTGTGCATTTTTTAAATTCCTTCTTAATACTCACCTGTTTTCTTTGGTCTTTGACTCAGCAGAGAGCTTTTATCATTGTATGATTTGTACGATTGACTTTAAGTAGGGCTGCAACTCGACTAAAACATTTATCTGAATAATTAGAGGCTTTGTAATTAATTAATCTTGATTAATCACATTTTAATTGTTCAAGACAATTTGCACCCGAGCAATATTTTTAGAGAAAAAAATAAGGTACAGATGACATACCCGCTCTTTAATGAGTAGGTATGTAAATATTAGTACACATATTATTGATGAAGTGTAAATAGACATTCAATTCAATTCAAGTTTATTTATTTGCGCTAAATCACGACAAGAGTTGTCTCAAGGCACTTCACACAGTGAACACATGGAACATTGTAAATGTTGTGTGCTGAACTGACCGCTAGGTGGCAGTAGAACACTGCTAACACATATAGAGGTGTAGTGTAGAGTTCAGGTGAAGTTCTGCTGAGGGTTACAAGATTAATGCTGTGTGTGCTCGTCCCTCCTGCTGTAATAAAGTTCATATGGATAAAGTTACTGCCTGCCTGCTTTCTACCATTTAGAAAACATGACGGTAAAAAGTTGATTTTTATTTTTGTCTTTTCTTCAAGAAGAGCAATTTGTAATGATTCATTTAATTGTAGTTTTAGTTTTGTTTGGAGCACGTATCAAAGGTTTAAATGGTCTTGTAGCCCAGGCTCTGCAGCTTTGTTAGAGGTGCAGCTTAATAATATTTACTGATATAAAGGGCATATATTGTGATGCTAAACGTTTACAGCTCCCAACTGGAGGGGTACATTTTTAACACCTAGTTATTTTAATTAATGTGCTAATTTACCACACCTAGTTTTTACAGTTGCTAATTTATTTTATTTGCCCTAATGTTGTTTTATTTACCGCATCTTTTTATTTTAAGACTCACTAAAAGTTCAAGTGTCTCGTTTGCACTTTTGTCAGCTTTTCAGGGCTTTATGAAGAAAGTTGGCTTGGTTTGGCTCCAACACTTGATTTGATTAACATGCTTCTGTAGAACTTGATTAGCTGCTGAACAGGGTGAGCAGGGAAACAACTAAAATATGCCGGAAAGAAGTTCTTGAAGACCAGGTTTGAACACACCTGTTCTTTGTGTTTGGTTGTAGGAGAAACATCTAAAACGTGCTGGATAGTCACCTCAGAGGATCCGGGCTAAATTCATCTCAGAATCAGCTTTTCTATAGGAGCGCCTTTGTGCTGAATCACTCATGCAAGTTTTATGGAACCTTTTTTTTAATGGAATGTCTTGTTTATTCCAAAAAATCAGTGCCAACCACACTTTGTGTGCGTTAGAAGAGGAGCAAAGGCAACACTCCAGATCATCTTTATCCTTGCTGCTGAGAAAAACGATCTTTACTGAGCTTTAGAAATCAGTAGAGGAATAGATGAAAGCACCTACTGATCATGACAGAGACCGTGTTGACACGAGGATTGAAGGAACATCTCCCTTTTCCTGATTCCATCTTGGAGTCGATGCTAAACACTTGTTCCTGCCACGAGGGGAAAAAGGCATATTCAAAAATATTACAAATTGTATTTTGTGACTTTTTGCGTGTTAAAAATGACAACGAGTGAAACACATGTCCCACAAAGCTGCCATAGGCTCTCCTTTCATTAGATTTAAAGTGTTCATGGGGACAGACCTGCTTAGGTTTACCTTCACCGGCCCGTGTGGACCACTAAAACAAAAATGGAGGAATTTTCCTGCTGATACGTTGGACAGCCATCTTTCCAAGCTGCAAATGTGTCAAATCTCCAACCTGTGTGAGTTGCAGCTACTTCCTGTCCCATCCATTAAGACATGGCATGTTGGATGACATCACTTCTGCAGCAGCATTCCAGGAAAAATGGGTCTGCTTGCCAGAAACTTATAGGGAGGTGGACACAGTGCAGCTGGATGGTTCTGGTATCAACATCTCGACTAAGTAATCTAAAATACTCACCACTAAAAACTGTTTATGCCTAATCCTCGTGGACTAAAACAGCATTTGTGTGAAACTATTTCTGATTTAAAAAAAAAAGCTGATTTAAAGAGGTATTTTTTGTATTGAGACCCAATTTCCGTTCATGGGTAAAACACAAAACAGGTTTTCCATGTGAGTCACACATTCCCTTCATCCTCTTGGTTTTCCAACATCGTATCACGCTGGGACACAGCGAGAGTTCACTCTCTCCTCTCCAGAGGACGCAAACAGAGCAGTCCAACTTTCAAACAAAGCTTGAGATGACAAAAGACACCACGGTGAGACGAGAGCCTGGTTTTCTTGGCTTGTTAGTCTTTGGCAGCATCCTGTTCACTCGTGGACCTTTCTTCAACTGGAGGGCTTTCCTGCCCAAACTTCCAGATCCGTGTGGCCGGATATGTGAGCCTAGAAACATCAGACCTCCGTTTTCTTCCTCCTCGTCTCACGAGGCATCCAACTGACTGCATAAGGAATCTGATACTTTGTCAAAAGCCACACTGTGATTTTGGATGTTTTGGTGCTCGTCATTCAAACTGATTTCAGTTTTAATAAAGACTAATGTTACTGGACAAACTTAAAGTCATTTTAAAGGGAGAATAGGCAGTTTTGGCTTACTTTTAGCACTCTCTAGAGTCCAAACGCAAAACCTATCTCCCTGCTGTGCGTTCATCTATTTAAAACCTTAATCTAATAGCTGAAACAATCCACTAGCCTTCAGGAGCGATTCATCACAAAATTAACCCCTTAGCATTCCAGTGTCTCGCCCACGGGACAAAACCCCACTGCGCTCACTAAACCTGGACATTTAAGGGGTTAAACAAATCAGCTGCGTTCATGATCTAAAACATGCAGGGAAGGTGTGGGAAGCAGGCTGCAGCACCAGGTACGTCAATTCCATTTTCTTCTAAGTCCTGCAGACTGTACTGACAACTCTGAAGTTGCAAGTGGAACATTCTGGCCACAGGAGACGGTAGGAGCTGGGTGGCCTTTCATTAACCCTGTAAAGGGTCATTTTAGTGCATACTGGCTCAAGAAAACGGGCAAAAGTATGAAAAAGTTGCAGTGTCTCTTTTAATTGTGGTGTGCAGGTTTCTTTCCTGTCTCCGTCGCTGTGAACCCACCTCAGGTCTTCGGCCCCGGTTGATGTACACGCAGACGGGACTGTAGGCGCCGCTGCCGCACATGAACAGATGGGTTCTGTTATACGGCTGCACGACCCGCACGAAGTTCCCACAGCCATGCTGGTAAAAACAAACAAAGCGATGCAAGTAAACAGTTTAGTAAAAGAGATAACATTTAAAAATGTGATCAGTTATGAAGAACGTTGTCCGTTGTGATTACTGTAAATGACTGGATTTCAACCATGTGCTTTTTAGAGTTTGCAATCATATGCAACCATTCTGTTCCATCCTCATGAAGAGAAGTTTTTGTGAAAACCGATTTTCAGATGCGGCCCGCGGAGCATTTTTATGTCGCCCGCGAGATAAATATCAAAAATATATTAAAACTGACCCGCTGGCCAATTTTACCACAACGACTACAACTCCCATGATGCTTAGCGGCGTTAGCGCGGAGCCAAAGCGTCCCCTCCTTTGTGGTTTTTCCAGCGTCTGCTGTCGGTGTCTGCAGCTCCGCTGTCTCGGACAAACTAAACACTCCTCTCACTCAGCGCCGAGTTTACTCAGCTATTTGCCGACGCTGAAGCCCAGAAATGGCGATTTTAACCGCTCAGTAATGTGTTCACGACTGAAAGAGAAAGTTTTCCAACTAACTTCCAGACAGAGCTGATATAACTCCAGCGAGAAGCGACACATTCAAATCAGCATGAATCTGTGGCTGCTGTAGTTTTTATTTTTCCTCCCCGACACACAACAACATGGTAAAGCTGCTCAGACATGTTCAGCAGCACAAACCTATGTGAGCACCTGTTGTCATCTAATGTTGTCATTATTATGATGAAAATGAACAAAACAACAGGAGTCTCCTTCTCAGCTCAGATAAACCCCATGATGCAGGTATCTGGCTGGAACAGGTGAGCATCACAGTAAACCAGTGGAGCAAACTGAGCTTTAAATATGTTGGTTTTATGCTCTTTTTCTGCTCCAAAACATGAAAGTTAACAGGTGAGATGTTAGATTTTCATTTAAGATAAAATTACATTTTTATTTTGTTGTTGGCCCATGAGAAAAGATTTAACCTACAGTAAACAGGAAGTGGAAAGACTGCAAATAGATGAATAGAATAGAAAATCCCTTTATTGTTCCTCAGTGGGGAAAGCTAGACGTCACAGCAGTGATGACACTTATTACAGGAGAAAAAAAGGAGAATAAAAAAGACAAATGAATAAACAACAAAAAAACATAAATCCTGAATAGATTTTAAAAATGCAGAATTTACCACAAGTAATGAATACCACTGATGCCTTTTATTTAAAATTGACTTGCTCGTGTGTAATTTGGTTACTCCGCATGCAGTGTTAACCCTTTAAGATCTGCCATAGAACAAGTTCGCCAGAACTTATACTGACATTTTTACATGCTGTGGTGCCATTTGTTGGATTATTTCAACTTTCTATACATCAATACAACCATTACATTCTAAATTTTAATTATATAAATGTAAAATGCTCATAGCAACAAAATATTTTACTAAAAATGCAATTATCTATACAGAAATTGAAAATCGTTTTTTGTTTTTACACATATTTTTAATTATACAGAAATGCACAGTTTTATCCCTCAAAATTGTCAAAGAAAAAAAGTTTCACAAAATCCTTTCAAACAACCACTAATTTATTTGAAGTGCTTCCATAAAATGGTTTCTGAGATACTCTCATTTATATAAACTGTAACAAAAATGAAAACATAATTAGTAATAATCTACAGGAGTCTAACATAATATTGTTGAATATTTGTAGCTAATTTTTTGTAGTATATAGTTTTCCTTTTCTCTCACTAATAATAATAATAACAACAACAATAGTAATAATAATAATAACAATAATAATAATAATAAATAATATTGCATGAATATATACGTGAGCAAACTGAAAGTGAAACTTAAACATCACCTGGCGCTGTAATGGGGTCAACTGCTTCGAGGGGGGAGCGTGTACCGTTTGGCGGGTCCGTGAGCCATCAAAATGTTTGTAGTGGTGTGTGTGTGTGTGTGTGTGTGTGTGTGTGTGTGTGTGTGTGTGTGTGTGTGTGTGTGTGTGTGTGTGTGTGTCGGGAGTTTGTGTTGGGTGTGTGATGTTTGTAGGATGTGTTTGTCTAAATGTATTATTGGGAAAAAGCACAAGAAAAGGCCGAAAGACTGGGACTACAAAGAACTACAATTCGCAGGAAAATGACATCAAAGCAGGTGATTGGGTGAGTGACAATCATGTGACAGTTCACGTTAACAGTGTGTTGACGTTTATTCTAGCGTGTGAAGCCGTGTGAGCTGCAGATCAGAATGACACAGCGTCTGTGTGTGAATGAAAACGCATTTTGGTTGTTTTTTGCAAACTCGTTAGTGGAAATAAGCAGCTCTCTGGGACGTGTCCAGTGCGTGAGATATAAGCGTAACTCCTCCGGTTTAATATGCAAAATAATATTTTTTTGTTCTATCTTATATAGTTTCAGTTACTCTACAAGCATTTGAACACAGATATGCGAATGGGAGCGCCGATGCTCCCGCCAGTCTTAAAGGGTTAATGCAAAAATAAGTTTGTTTCCAAATTAAAAGATTCAAAATTGCATATATGTTGATAAAGAAAATGTGCAAATTTGCCGTCGCTTTTTCAAAAAATATTAAGTTTGGCCCGCAACTTCGTCCCAGATTTTTATTTTGGCCTAGTGTGAATTTGAGTTTGACACCCCTGATGTAGGGGCTCAGGTCCAAAACCTAAAATAAATTCCAGAATAATCCAGGTTTTTATGTCTTTAAAGCTGCAATGACAAATTTGGAAAACAAATTAGCTTAAAATGTTTTTGTTATGCCTCTTAATATTCTAACATAGTAAAGCTCTAAATATATTGTGGAGATAAAAAAAAACTAATAAAGTTGTTCTCTTTGTGTAAAATCTCTGCCGAGACACGACTCAGACCCAAAACAATTACTGGACCATTCGGTTGTCGGTCTTGCTGAACCACCGCACTTCTCTGATTTCTTCATTCATGGATCACTCCCATATTTAGCAACAGAACACCATTGGTGTGAGAGTTTCTACACACAGAAATATCAGACAAGGAGAAACAGCTGGCTGCTACCACTTCAACTTTAGGACAAACTACCAGAGTCCCAAAAAGAAAAACACCATTTGAAGTCACAGACAACAAAAGATGTTTGGACCTAGAAAACAGCAACAAGTGTTTAGCACGCTCTCGTTTCATCCGGCATTCCGGCAGAAGTGTCTCCGGGAAGATACCCGAGGGGAGGTGTGAGTATTCTGTAACCGTGTTTGCGTTTAAAACCTAGCTTGTTCTGTAGATTCGCCGCATGACAACTTTAATACCTGCGTGTAGTCTGATGGATTGGCTTCATCAGACTACCTGGATAGAACTGAGTATCATCAGCATAACAATGGACATTTCCCCTCTGAAGTTTACACTTTTAACCAAGCAAAAACATGCAAAGTGAAGAGTACTAGACCAAGCAACAAACCCTGAGGAATCCCATGACTAATGGCGCCTACACATTAGTGTTGGTACAGTTGGGGTATGGTGGGGCTGGCTGGTGTGAGTTTGGACTGGTATGGGTGGTGTAGTGTTCACATATAAATCCGAAGGACTGCTCAGGAATGCGGAAATCCCCGAGCCCGTGGGCGGCATTTAATACACACAGAAAAGTCTGTGGTAACCTCCATATTAAGATAAACAAAGGCGGGCATGAGCATGATGCATTGTGTGTCCTCATAATCTTGTGCTCTGCTGCTGCGGGCCATAAACACACACACACACACACACACACACACACACACACGCACACGCACACGCACACGCACACGCACACGCACACGCACACACACACACACACACACACACACACACACACACACACACACACACACACCTCACTCTCTTGTCCTTTTCCCACTGATCGGCAGCACCGTGCAACAGACAGAGGTCAACCAGCAAGAAAATTAATCGCGCATGTGGGAACCCCTTGCTGGCTTATTCTACTCACCAATCGGAGGCGGTAAGCGTAATTTTAACAGGCCAGTCAGTGCGTAGTGTCACCTTGGTCCCAGTCTGACCGCTGGGGAGGAGGTCAGAAAAAAAAGAGTGTCCTCGGAACCGAAAATGCATATCTGACCCGTGTGTGAAACCAAATTCCAGTCCTGAACGGACCGTACTGACACTATGTATAAGCGCCATAACTGGCTCCACCTGGAAGTTTCATTTTACAGACGAACAAACTGGAATCTATCAAATAAAAAAAGGCTTCAACCATTTTAGTGCTGTTCCCTTAACCCCCAGAGACCCATGGTTGTAATATTACAACATCAGATTTAAGTCTACAAAAATAAACCTTCCCCATTTTTTTTCTTTTTAAAACCACATTTACATTGCTAATAGGTCCTGTTGTTCAGTTCTGCAACACTGCTGGCTGTTAAAATGTGAAAATAGGCCCGTTCATCTGGCCTCCTAGGACAACATGTGGAAGGTTAAAAAAATATTTTGCAGTTGTTTTCTAAATTTGGGCTTCTGGGGGTTAAAGGGTAACTAAACCCCAAAATAACTTTTTGTTGCACATAAAATGTATAATTAGGTCTTTATAAGAAACACAATCTTTCCGTTTCTGTGCATTTTTGACAAGTTTGTGTCAACTTGATTAAATCTAGAATCTAGGTTTAAAAACGTGTTAGTGCTGCCCCCTGTGGGTTGAACTGTGGCTACTGCATTTTAAACTTGTGATTGACTGGGGCTTGAACAATTTCACATCATCGGTACAGTCTCCTCCCACTCCTCCTCCCTCACAGGATTGAAATCCCCCACACTTGGCCATGCCACTCCCTGCCTCCTGGCAGCTCCCACTTTCATAGCATTTTTCAAATCTTGACTAGAGGTGGAGTTATGTTTTCTGATGGTGTGCAGTCCCTCTTTAAACCTGCTTCACAAGCATCTGTAACATAAAATGGTGTGTGACTGAATCAGATGCTGCACTGAAGCCTAACAGGGTAAGGAAAGAGTCTGCTGCATGGACCAGTATAGGAACTCCAGTAGAGAAAGGAATCCGATCAATAAAAGCATTGTTGCACAAACGATCCCAGTGCCTACTGGTTTGTTTGGTCTCTTAACTCAGTACCAGTGGGAGTGTCAGACTTTTGCAGCTAATTAAACACGAGTTTGTAGTTTGGAACAAATCGTGGAGGAAAAGAACACGCATCCAGGGAGCTGTCAGGAACTTGGACACGACTGCAGAACTGGCAGCTGCAGCAGCTCACGGCCGGTGCACAACACTCCACAGGGAGCGATCAGTGAAACGAAACTGAATATTTTACTGTCTCACACCCATTTCTGTTATCCATCTTCCTTTTCTTAATGCCTTTTTGTTGTTTTTGCCTTTTTGGGAGTGGCTCTTATTCATTGAAACACGCCCACATGCGACCCATCTAGAAACTGCCTCTGCTGATCCCTTCTGCCTCGAGAGTTGGTTTTAACCACCGGTTTTATTTAAAAAAAAAATGAATTTAAGGCACAAAGATGGAGAGAATAACCAAAACAGACATATGGGAGAAGCGAAATTGGCTGAGAGAAAGTGAAACATGTAAAAAAGAAACCAAGGAAAACTGTCAAGGTTGGAGAAATGATCAAAGAAGGAAGAGATAATGGCCAGGCAGAAACTAGCGACAACAGGGTAAAGAAGCCTGCATAGAAACAGCCCGTCCAAATATTTGACGGAGCCTGTCTGCAGACGACGTGCAATTTCTCAAAGCTGCACAAATCACTCGGTTGCTGGAAACAGTTCCCTCTCTATTTCTGCCACAGCAATTAGTACAAATGCATGAATTTACTCCTCCTGGGAATGCTAGAGTCTGAAAATTTATACAAATAACTCATATTTCTTGATGAATGAGGCTTTGTTTTCTGGAGGGTTTTGTTCTTTGCGCTGCAGTACCTATAGGGTTCTAGGCCTGAACGTGTTTCAGGTCCAGCCACTTAAAGGAGAACAGATGCAGAGGCTTCTGAGTCTGGCTGCATCCGTTCATTACATCTTGCTGCAGCTTCAGTCGATGTCGTCTCTACTTACAGGTTTATTAAAATAAAAATCACGGCCCCAGATTCCTTCACAGCTCACTCCCGTCTGTGACCTTGAGCATCTGCTGCCGGCTACAAATGAGGTTGGACCCGAGGGCCAGCAGATGCAGAAGGAAGTCCCATCAGGGGATGTTTTGGAGGAACAGATCTGGGAACAGCTGATTAAACCATTCATTGGGATCTTGCCAGAATAATATGAAGACTTTTCAACCAGCAATGGAGAATCTGAGTTACGATTTTAGCTAAAAGTGAGGTTGTTGTGAGGAAGTGATCAATATCCACCACATAAGATCATGTCTGAGGGGGGATCTTACGTCCAATTTGGCTTTTTCATATTGATCCTGCTCAAAATATTTTCCAGAATTTGATTGTTCTATAAAGATATTTTATTTAAACTGATGAGCTATTATTATTTTTTTTACTTAAACAGTTTCAGTTCCCTTTTCTTATTATTGACCCAAACCCCCTTAAATAGAAAGATCAAATAATCTCAAAAGGCTTTCTGAGGAAATATTATTAACAGTTCATGTCTTATCTGTTATGGATTGTTCTATAAACAACCTCGGTTATAGGAAATGAGCTGAATTCCAACCAGATGTGCTAACAGTTAGAAATTGTTATAATTCTGTCATTTTGGAACAAGTTAAATCTCATAAGTCACCTGAAGGCTTTCCTACATGATTTAAATCCTTGGCACTCAGTTTAACATTACATGTTTATTTTTGCAGAATAATCTCAATCTGATCAACATTTTTGCTGTAAATAATCACAACATTTAGGTAAATAATTGTGTACAGCAGCAGAAAGGTGCATGAATTATTGTTTATGCAAACTGCTTTGAAACTTTTTAGAAAGAAGTTTTTTTTTACCCAATTTGTGATAAATTCAGTCAGATTAGCTTTTGATCAGATGTTTCTAATAAGAGTCTGGTCAAAGAGTGCTCAACACTCACACAGACAGGCAGGCAGATGGGTATGCAGGCAGGAATGCAGACATGCACGCATGCAGGAGGACATGCGTGCAGACAGACAGGCAGACATGCACACATGCAGGAAGACATGCGTGCAGACAGACAGGCAGACATGCACGCATGCAGGAAGACATGCTCACAGACAGACAGGCAAGCACACACGCACACAGGCAGGAATGCAGAAATGCACGCAGGCAGACAGGCAGACATGCACGCACGCAGGAAGACATGCATGCAGACAGACAGGCAGGCATGCACGCATGCAGGAAGACATGCTCACAGACAGACAGGCAGGCACACACACACACAGGCAGGAATGCAGAAATGCACGCAGGCAGACAGGCATACATGCATGCACGCAGGAAGACATGCATGCAGACAGACAGGCAGACATGCACACATGCAGGAAGACATGCTCACAGACAGACAGGCAAGCACACACGCACACAGGCAGGAATGCAGAAATGCACGCAGGCAGACAGGCAGACATGCATGCACGCAGGAAGACATGCATGCAGACAGACAGGCAGGCATGCACACATGCAGGAAGACATGCTCACAGACAGACAGGCAGGCATACATGCACACAGGCAGGAATGCAGGAATGCACGCAGGCAGACAGGCAGGCATACACGCATGCAGGAAGACATGCTCACAGACAGAAAGGCAGGCACACATGCACACAGGCAGACAGGCAGACATGCATGCACACAGGAAGACATGCATGCAGACCGACAAGCAGGCATACACGCATGCTGGAATTCAGACACATACTCAGGCAGACAGGCATGCTGGCATTCATGTACGTACGTATGCAGGAAGACATGCATGCAGAAAGATAGGTAGGCATACATGCACAGAGGCAGGAATGCAGACATGCACGCACTTAAACAGGAAGTCAGGCACGCAGACAGACAGGCAGACATGCATGCACGCAGGAAGACATGCACGCACTTACACAGGAAGTCAGGCACGCAGACAGACAGGCAGACATGCATGCACGCAGGAAGACATGCACGCAGACAGACAGGCAGACATGCATGCACGCAGGAAGACATGCACGCAGACAGACAAACAGGCATGCACACACACAGGCAGGAATGCAGGCACACAACCACGCAGGCAGACAGGCAGGCAAGCACTCACTCACACTTTCAAATGTCAAACGTATGAAAATGATCGATTTGTTTACATTGTCATAATTGATATATTTTTTTGTTTCAATTTTTGATGCGAATGAACAGAAAATAATTCTAAAAACAACAAGAATTGATGTTATTTTTGCTTTCTTACTGTTGGGTCTTTTCCTGCCAGTTGGCATTCTTCAATTTTGCTCGTAGACGCCGGCCAGAACATCTGGAAGATGCAAACAAACAAAACATTTAAAATGGTGACGGGAATGCTCAAAGACAACATGATTACATTAATTAGCTTAAACATCCTGTTTTCACAGACAAATAAGAGGATTTTTATGTGGAAAATGAACAGAAAAGAGGTTTGATAATTGCTCCTTTTCCACAGAAATTCAAGTGTGAATAACTACAGCTCTCAATCATCTGTGGAAACTCGTTAAGGGGGTCAAAGGTGCAGCCTGATGAATATATTATCCAATTTACAGAGAAGAAAATGGATGCAGCGCAGCTCTCTCAAGGGGACCTTAATGCTCTCCCATCTGTTTATGCACTTCACGCCTGTCAATTATGGGATGGATAATTCCTTCATTGCTTTCAGAATAAGAGTACTCCGATAGTTGGAAAGCTCTTCTAAATAACCTCAGAGCAGCACTGATCGTAGCTAAAGGTCGTTTGCACACAAATGTACATTTATTCCAGTAACTCTCATAGTTTTATGATTTTATTTTGGTTTTTAGAGGAATAAAAATATAAATGCCAAAGTGATGCTGACCTTGAGCGTGCCATGTGTGATGTTATTAAGGTCCATAGAGAGAACGTGGTCCTTGCAGCCCACATACATCCTGTCCTGGTCCTCATTCATGTGCAGGATCCTGTAGTCCATGGCCTTGTCTGAGATACTGTAATGTTCAAATGACTGGGAGGTCTGCAGGTCTGAGAGGCACACAGGAAACAAAATCCCAATAAGTCTCCATCCCTGCAAATTCATTATTTTGAAGAATAAATAAATAAAAGCACAAGATCTACACAAAGCGCAGCTTTTAGGGTTTCGAGAGTTTCCTTCCACCAGGCTTCAGCTCTCATATCAGGACAACAGCTGCCACCAGATATTTACTGAAGGTATTTGCAACAGACTTTATCCACTGTATGTACACAGAATGTCCCAAAACGGCCCCTTTTTGTTCAGCTGAGCAGAAGCAGTGCACCTAATCTGTTCTGAGAACGAGAAACTTCTAACAGGAAGGATTCCTGGTGTAGACAAGACTGTAGTCATGAGCACTTTAAGTTATTTCTGGAAAAGATAAAGTCTAGGTTTGCAGATTAGTGCCAAATCCACCTCAAACAGACTCAAAGTCAAGTTTAAACTCAACGTGAAGAAAAGAGCTTTAATGTTCGGTGAGCTGCTTTCCTTTTGGAGATCACCCCTGATCACATTCTGCAAATATTGGGAATTAGACACATAAAAGCCACGTCCCACCCCCACACCCTAATCCTAACCCACCACAGAGTTGAGCATTTAACGGACGTTTTGAGCTGGGGTGAAGGGCATGTTCTTAATCATCATCGTAGTTTGGAGAGTCTTGATCCGTCATTCCGAAAACACTAACTGAACAAAAAAAACAGACCTTTAACTCATTTAATCAATACATTTGCAATGACGTCTGGTTGGACGTTGATGTTTTATCCCCACAAATAACACAAGCCTGGAGGAGTTCTGCTGTGTGGTGGAGTTGCTAATGCTGTTTCCTGGATGCTACACCAACAAAAGCCATCCCCGTCGTGAGCCAAGATGGGTGAGTCCATGAATGTTAAGTGACAGTATGACGTAGATCTGTCAGGCTTTTCTAATCCTAGAGTTTCACCGTCCGTCTTCTATCAGGAGCTAAAGCAGGAGATAGCTGTAGGAGACTATTTTCATGGTCGGCCTGTATGAAAACCTCAGATTGACCCATTTGTATCAGAAATGATCATTAAAATGGTTTTTCAGTGTTCCACACCTTGACAACTTATTATTTATGCATCTCCAAGTCTGTTTCCTGCTGGATTTGATGGAAGTTTTCATTGCTTTAAATCAACAAGTATGTGTGATGTTGCAGTTTACGTGATGCAGACTTTTACCGACCTTTAAGCGCCAAAGTCGCAGAATTGCATGGTGCCTCTCAGAGTAAGAACTCCAAAGCGCTTTACACTACAGTGTATCATTCATCCATTCACACACACATTCACACACTGGTGGGGATGAGCTACGATGTAGCCACAGCTGCCCTGGGGCGCACTGGCTGCCGAGCACTGGCGCCACCGGTCCCTCCGATCACCACCAGCAGGCAAGGTGGGTTAAGTGTCTTGCCCAAGGACACAACAGCAGAATTCTATGTCCGGAGCCAGGATCGAACCTGCAACCTTTCGATTACTGGACAACCCGCTCAACCTGTTGAGCTACTGCTGCCCAAAGCCACAGCAGCAGAAATGAGCCCTCATGCAGTTAAAACGAAAACAACCAAAACACAAAACTTTTATTTGATAAATCGGAGATAACGAGACACAAGACACTCATCAGGGAGGGAAGCTGAAAGCAGTCTGAGGTTCACTGATAAAAACCATCACATCCTGTCGTGGCTTATGGATACGGTTACATAATAAGAATACGTAGCAGGAATATAAAAGATTCCTGCTACATTTATTGGTCACTTTAGATTGGGAATTCTCTGTATTTGCAGTAAAACAAACAAAAACCTTGTCTATTGAAGCCAAACTCATGCATATTTATCACTTTTTCAATCTGCACTAAGAAGAGTTTGGGTGTGGAGCTACTCCCTCCACTTCCTTACCCGTATTGACCCTCTCTAAGCTCTTATTGAGCTCCGTCCTCTGATCAACAAACAGGTGGGCTGCACTTTGCTTCAATCCCCCAGGCCAAAGTCACATTTCCTGATAGTTTGGCCTCTACGCTTTTGAGGTTTGTTGCCTTTTATCTTGGAGGAGAAAGTGGCTTTTCTGAAGCACCCCTCGCTCTCATCACGAGCTGTTGTTCAGCACTTTCGCCTCGGAGTGTTTAAATAAAGGAACGTTAACCACTTCAGGCGCAGGCAAGTTTCCCACGGCTCTTCGCTCTCTACTTTTAGGTAAATTGCCTTATCTAGAGATGACAGCAGGCTCATTTTAAATGTCGCAAAGATTAATGCAAGAATCTGAGCCAGATGAGAACATCTGACAAAATTCAACTTTGGTTGTAGCCGACCCAAGATAAACACAAATCAAAGGTTTATGTGCAAGAAATTAGAAACGTGCAGGACACTTGTTTCAGTCTACTCTACTTCCAACAAGTAGTGAAGAGTTTACTGGAAACTATTATTTAGGGAGAATGAAGCAGACGGAGAGGAACTGATGGTAAAGGAACATCCATCAGCAGCTAAAGCCAGATGTAAAACCAGAGCCTTTGTAAAACAGAAATGAATCAAATATCGACAGAATAAAAAGCAGAAATAAATTGTGAAGAAGATGAAAATGTAAACAGCCTGCAGAAAAGAATCAGCCCTAGGAAGAAAATGCAACTCAAGGACCAAATGGACTCCAGTTTTAAAGAAGAACTCAGCTGCTCCAACTAAACTTACGAATGGATGTGAAAAGAATTCTACATATTATTGAAAAAACAAAATCAAACAAACAAAAAGCAAACGCAGCAGCATACCGCTGCCACAAACATAAAAACAAATAGTAACAAGTAATATCATTTATTTATTGTTAATGTTTTCTCTTTATAACCCATTTACATGTCATGTTTCTTCAAACACAAAGTTTGAAATGCTAAGTTTTACTATCTGAATGTAAGAATACTAACGTTTCAAATGTATCTATATTGTCTAAATGGAAATAAAATTTCCATTTGGCATCTGCCTGATCAATCCCGGTGTCTGCCTGGTGGGGTCTGGGTCCCTGGGCTCTGCTGGGTCCCCGGCGGGGGTGGTCGCCCCTGGGTCCTGGGCTCGGCCGGCTAGGGGGTGGGAGGCTGTGGGCGGGCCTGTGGGCTTGCTGCTGATATCTCCCGGGTCTCTGCCGGCTGCTGGTTGTGACCCCCGGGGGTAATCCTCTGCGCCTCTCGAGGGGGGCGGGGGCTTTTATGGTTGCAGTCTCCCTGGGGTCCCTGTGCTCTGGGGCAGCGCCTGGATTTCTGGGACTTGTAGCTCCCTCCGTTATCTGCACATCTTTGGGGGGCAGATCTGTGGTCCCTCACACTCTCTATTGGACGCTTTTATAGTGAAACCTTACATAAACAAGTGCGTGTACACACACAGGTGCTCACATGGTGCTCTCATAAGTATGGACTTGGGCACATTCAACACAGGTCTCAAGGCTTTGGTGGGCACTTAATGCACTGTGATTTATGATCGTGTGATTGTTCAGTTAAACAATGTTGATTATATATTTCTTCATCAGGCTGACACAGTGTTAGCTTGCTCCTGTTGTCTTGTTGTGTCCCATTTTTTTCTCTTCTTTCTCTTTCTGCAGGTCTAGAAGCAGACTCTTGTTCATTATTGTTTATTTTTGTGGAACCCCCCCCCCATCTTTTGTCTTTTCCTTTCTCTTTCACCTCTGTCTCCGTGTCTGGTCGGAATTACAAAGCATTAAAAACAATAACAATATAGTTTGAAATATCAGGCGTGACATTAAAAGCAGACGCTTTGATGCTCCACCTGAGAGTAAATCTGTAAGGCTTGTTACCAGCATTCAGACATCAATTCTGTTTGCTTCACAGCCAGACAGGACACAGTAAAAAAAAAAAAATAGAAAGAAAATAAAATATATTTTGACGGACAAGTTTAAATCCTAACAGGAAAATTGCTTTTCTTGAAGCATTTGAAATATCATTGGAACTCAAGATAAATAAAAGTGTTTAAACATTATCTCTTTTTTTGAAGCTACATTACAGTAAGTAATATTTATGCAAAAATAAAACCTTTTAAAATCTATATCCAGTTTTTCCATCTGAATATAAACTTTTTGCCATGATTGCATGTAGAGATAGAAGTGACATTTATTTTGAAGGGGTTCGAGCCGGTACCACCCAGTGAGAGCGTGTGCCGGGACGTATGCATGTTCACGAGAAGGCCGGGTTTGCCACCATTTAGCTGCTAAGGCTAAGCTAGCGGTTGAAAACATGCACTGGATGATGAATCCTGCCAGAAATTCATGCCAGGCTCTTTGCTTCTGACCCAGACCACCCAGGGGCGTGCCCAGGGGTTGGCCTGGGGTAGCACATGCCACTGTTGGAATTTGATTGGCCACCCCACTTAATTCCAATTAAACAGACTTGTCCCCAAAGAGGTTGGAGTAAAAAAAAAAAAAAAGAAGCATAACCATTGGTGCCACCCATGCACAAAGAAGTGCAGTACCTGGGCCACCCCATTTTAAAAGATCTGGGCACGCCACTGAGGCCACCGCTCCTTCCTTTCCTGATCGAGACCGAGCCCCCAGGAGCGGGTCTCCAGGCTGTTAATTCCAGCCTGGATCTCTGTATTTATGAGGCAGCATGTCCTTCTGGTTCTGCCCAGAGCCGTGCAACATGGGCGGCCTGCACTGCCACACATCTTGCACGGTACTAAGCTCCAGGACATTTTTTGAGAACCAGGGCAGGGAGCGGGAAAACCTCAGAGGGCAATTCAATTTTGGCTCACTGTGCTCAGGATAACTTTCCATAACTGCCTGGCAAATTTCCCTGGTTTCCAGGTTTTCTTTCTCCTTCTAACCAGCCGACTAGCATTGTCCTTCCAAACGCTTCCCGCCGACACAACTGTCTCTGCTACTTGAGTTTATGGTGGTAGTAAAAGATAATGAACAAATAGGTAAATGATTTCGTACATTGTACCAAACAGTCTTGGACCATTGCGGGAGTGCCTGTTTAGCTGACTGCAGTTCCTTTACCAGCCACATGGTGC